ATCAGGAAAGCAGAGCAAAGCTAGTCTGGGAGGAAGGGAGGGAGGGAGGGGGAGAGGCAGAGGGAGAGGGAGAAGGAGAGGGAGAGAGCGAGCGAGCGCTGATGCATCAGATTGAAATGAGGCCTAGTTTAGACTGAGGCCCTTTTCCACATTGAAACATCTTTGGCTTCTATTAAAGGTTTTGTGGATGAAGCATGGTCAAGACTATCAGGAAGCTCTCACATTTTGTTGAGGCTTTTAACAGGATCCATTAGACCAGACCTCCACCCAGAAAAATTACTTTTGCCCAATGTATTACAGTGCCAATTCTGAAGAAGGCAAAACCAAAATGTACTGGTAAATTACAAGGAGAACACACACACAAACAAACACACACACACACACTCCCTTTTAACCTTGCTGGAGCAGGTGATTGGACAAGAATAGATCTCTTATTATCTTTCTCCTCCTTCCCTCCCTCCCTCCCTCCCTATTTCTTTTTCTTTCTGTCCCTTCCTTCCATTCCCCCTCTTTCTTTGTCTGTCCCCTTTTCTTTTTTTCCCTTTTCTCTTTCTTTTCTTCCTTCTCTTTCTCTCACTTTGTTTCCTTTCTCTTTCCCTCTCTCAGGTTTACCCCATTGACTTGGTGCACAGCTCCACTAGGACTTGCTTGGACAGGTCCATCCGGTGCAATGGTGTCCAATGGGGTGGACTTGCAAGGTCAGCACCTAGAACGCGGCCGTGGTGGCACGTTTGAAAAGTAGAGCAAAGTCAGAGGTCGGTAATTTTTGCTGCAAAGAATCACAAAAGCTTCTGGGCTGTGCACAAGAAGGGACACACAGGTCGATGCAATTCAACAACATAAAACAAATCAACAAGAATTGGCAAAGCATCTCTGATTAGATTCTATTCACTACTAGAATCTAATCAGAGATCCTTTGCCGATTCTAGTCCAACGACTAGAAGGGGTTAGAAGGGATTGTGTGTGTGTATGTGTGTGCATGGCTGTCAAAACTCCAAAAACAGGTCAAGTAGCTCTGGGGAGGCCAGTCATAAATTAAAACAGTTGCTAAACAACTGACCATTAAGTGAGGATCACTTGTATTTGGTTTGCCCACCCAGTCACATGACCATCAAACCACACCTACCCGGTCATGTGACCACCAAGCCACGCCAGCTAATCATGTGACCAGCAAGCTACACCCACCCGGTCACATGACCAGCAAGCCACACCCTCAAATTAGGCCATGCCCACAGAAATTTGAATCCCACCCCTGGGTGTGGGGCACCGCTGATGAGTTTTTAGCACCAAGGGGGTAGTGGACTGAAAAAGTTTGGGAACCATTGTACTAGATGAACAAGGGAAACTAAAATCTAAGCAGGAGCTCAAGTTACAAGGAACACAGATAGATTGGTGGCCGTACCTACAGATCCAAGCAGGATATAAAAGTATAGACACAGAACAATATGGGATATATTTGGACCAACAAGAACTGGATACAATTTTACAGGGGGCAGAGGAAAAAATGATTACCAAAATGTATAAGTATTTGTTAAGGTATAAGATGGAAGAAGAACAGTTAAGGAAACAATGACAACTTGGGGGAAAAATTTTGGATATAGTATTAATTTGGAAGATTGGGAAAACTTATGGGAAATAAATTATAAATTAACTTTATCAGCAAACTATAAGAAGTATTTATATAAAACGTTTTATCACTAGCATTTACAGCCAGTGAGGCTTGCAAAAACGTTCCCCAATAATTCCGCAAGTTGTTGGAAATGTGGCCACAAGCAGGGAATCTACTATCATATGTGATGGACCTGCCCAAAAGCGAAAAAATACTGGCAAAAAATTAGAAATTGGTTAGAAGAAATTACAAAAGTAAAAATCAAATTGAAACCAGAGAGTATTTTTATTAGGGATTTTAAAACAAACAATTGGCAAAAAAGCCTGCTATATATTATATTATATATATTATACTCCATATACTAACAGCAGCAAGAATTGCCTTTGCCCAAAATTGGAAATGTGAAAATACAACCCCCCACCGACTTTATGATTATAAAGAAGACTTTACAATGTGCAGAAATGGATAGGTTGTCAATGGAGCATAAAAACAAAGAAGAGAGAGAGCACAATGAGATCTGGAATATATCGTACAGTTGGTTGGAAAGTAGACATGAAATGAATAGAAGGAAGATAAATTAAGACAACAACAACCTCTCAGTTTTATATCATGTAATGCAGATAGGAAGGGGGGGCAATAGATTTAAACTGTTATAGGCATAAGACATAACTGTCACTGATACAGGGCAATCAACAGTTCTGTATGGCTTCATTAGATTTTGATAAAAATTTGAATCAAGTGATACCATTCATTGGAGCAAATTTTAAATCCAGCAGCCTTATTAAACTGTATAAAGTTGGTTTGTTGTTTTTTAAGCCTTTTCCTGGACCAATAAATCTAAAACTAACAAAGATGTCAATTGATTAGATAACCCTTTTGGTATATTTTTTTTAATTTTTTAATCTAATAAAGATAAGACATGCTTATGAATGCTAAAAAATCAATACAATTTGTAGCTGGGCAAAATCTTACCAGAGAGAAGTAATAAAATACAATTTTAAAAATGTAAAATTTTTAACATGTAACATTTTTACATATTATTTCAAAAACTCACCTCTTTACTACTAAGAACAATTTTTTTGTCAATTGTAAATATAAATTGGATGCTGTATTTGCCTGCTTTTTTTGGATTCATTTCATTCCTAAATTATAAACACTAATGTTAGTATTTCTTTAAAATTTACAATACTTAAATTCTCAATATTTTCCCTATTAAATTTTTACATTGCTCTTTGAAACAAATGAACCAAAATCAGTTTTTTCAACATAACTTGTTTTATTATATATTTTAGGAAGTCTGAAAATAAGAAATACTCAGACTGATTAAAAAGAAATAAACAGAATTTTCATATTTAATGTCTGCAATACTTGCTATACTTTTGCATATATATTCTCAATTTTGAAACACTATTCTAGACACAGGTATTTAACAGACAATATATCAATACCTAGTTTGAAAAAAATCATACCTGCAATATGAATTTCAATCTTAATAAAAATAAATTATTGCTATCAAACCAAACTATATTTAAAAACAAAACTGATTATTTTTGTAATCAGCATTATAGAACTACTATAAAGTAACATTATTTGTTAACCTGAAGCAAAACCAGCCCTCATCCATGTCATTGTTTGCTTTGATACACTGAAATGTTGTAATCTAAAAAGAAAAAGTAAAAAGATAATGAGAAAGCCATATTATATATGTAAGCATTTAAAAAGTAATTTTATTAAATTCAGTTACTTTGAATCCTTTAGAATCTAAATAAATAAAATGATAGACATTATTTTAACTAAGAACCTTAAAAAGTATATAGTATAAATTAAGCTCATTTTTTAGTTTTTAGTCAAAATCAAATCAATAGATTATCTTAAAAGACCAAAGTTCAATATTAATTAAGCTCATATTTATGTTAAAGAAAATGTAAAGTAAAATGCACATAGAACAAATTCATACAACATTAAAATTAATGGGTATATATAAATAGGAGAGGATAAATCATAGATGCTAGACAAATTTCTCTTTTGAATACATTCAGTAATTGGACTCCCCTACTAGAAAGTATTATCTTTCAACCTCAAAAGTGCTCATAAAATTATCTCATGATCCAAGTAGATAATAATGATGTGATTCTTCATGTATTCTCATCTCTAACCTCTCTGGGCTTTAAGGATACAGAAACCAATGCTTTTAGCAATGATCATTCTTGTCTACTTTCAATCAACAGAAGTTCAAGATCATTTTACAGGTAACAAAATAATAATAATAAAAATTCACTGCTTTAATATAAATGAAGATATTACCAGAGCAAAGCTATCTTTGTCTAAATAAAATTACAGATTATTGTATTAATTTAAAATGAGCAATTGTTCTCTAAAACACTGAAGTGATTTACACTAATGCTCAAATGACATATTTTTAGGAGAGTGTGAAAAACACTTGTCAAGATATTTATTCCAACACTGAAATTTCTTTTATGGAACCTGATCAATTACTGAACAAGGCAATACTGTGAAACATCTGGTATGATGAAAAAATAACATCAATAAATTGATGGATAGGTTTAACTGGAACTAAATTTGTACACATATATAAAATGTCTATCTATCTGTTGCACACATTGTTTCCTGTTACTTACATTTTCATCATTGTCTGTTTCCTTAATTTTCATACAAATCCTTTCTGGATTTATATTTTTAATATTGTTGCCATCTTCAGAAATAACACTAACCAGGAAATCTGCATGAGGGAAAGAAATCTATTTTCACACATGTTGCTAAACTTAACTTCCAGATTAAAATTCTGAAGTAAAATATTACTAGTCAGAAATACATGTCAAAGAATATAAGAAACTGATAAGGATACTATAATGATATATATTCTATAAAAATGCATCACTTTATTCCCAGACACTTAATGACATCACATCATAGCCAAAGAATCCAGTGCCATAACTCAGAATAGCCAATAGCACTTAGACTTATATACTGCTTCACAGTGTTTTACAGTCCCCTCTAAGTGGTTTACAGAGTCACTGGTGCCAAAGCATCCACTGATTCCAATGCCATGGACCAGGATGATGGGACAGATACTTTTTATAGTGAAGAAGAAGGAAAATGCAATCAGGTTTCAAGATTGATGTCAGCACTTTGACCAAAGCCAAATCATGAAACTGATTCCCCATTTTGACCGATATAGGCTACAGTAATAAAATAAATAAATTCTGTAATAATATAATAAATAAAATGAATACATGTAATACAATAAATAACTAACGCATAAATTCTTTTGGTTTGGAGATTAAGAACACTGAGGGGTATCTACAGAAGCAAATCGAAACTGAATTGCTGAAAAACTGAAAGGAATAATAGAAGTTTACTTCCAAAAGGTACTAATTATCTTTATTATAAAAAAGGCGTGAATAATCTCAATTTTGGTAGGATTACATTAAAGAATATGAAGGCATATTCCAATGGGAATATAATGTGAGAGTAATTTGTATTCCGCCAATCCAATAATGCAAGATATCAATTGAAAAACAATATTCCTAATCCCTATAGATCACTGCTTTTCAGAGTTTGCAGAAGCTCTGAAAAGATTTGGTATCAGATAATAAACTGTTCTTAGCTTCAATGTAGGTCTTGAAAATTATCACTACTTTCTATAGGCCTACCACTAATCTTGCAATCATACTTAATATACTTTGTCCTGTGGAGCAAAAAAAAGGTTTTAAGCAGCGCAAATTCAGATCTATTCATATGATAGTTCAATGTAAAGGCATTTAGCACCAACACATCAGCAGATTGCTGTGTTAAGCTATAGAGCAGTAGTGGGTAACCTTTTTTGGCTCCCGTGCCGAAAATTGCACTCGTGCTCATGTGCCAGCATCCAGAAAGCAATGCGTGTTTGGCCCCCACCCCCTGTGCATGCACACGCGATCCCCCTGCGCACCATGTGTCTGCACAAGTGTGCATTATCCCCCACACACTGCTCATCTCTGCATATGTGCGCTAGACCCCCACGCATGCTGCATGTCTGTGCATGCACATCTCCCGTACAACCCTGCCCCGCGCATGCATGCCAGATACCCGACAATCAGCTGTCGGGCAACGGCGGTGTGTGCGCATATGCAGTGGGGCTCTTCTGGGCGACCTCTCACTTGCCAGCAGAAGTGGCTCTGCATGCCACTTCTGGCACACGTGCCATAGGTTCATCAACACGGCTATAGAGTAACTACCATTTTATAACCTAAAAATGACACTGATAGAGCAAACTATCTTTTAAAAGATGGCCGAAAATATTCTGTTGAAAAATAAGAAATAAAAGCATTCCAACTTTCTAATGATTATCTTAGAAAATAAAAAAAATGTTAAAGCACTCACCAGGAAGAATGTTTCCAGCGGTGAAGATAGCACTCTCATCATATTTAATATTTAAATGTACAGGTTTTTCTGGGTCAGGCCAAACCTTTATTTTGATCACTGGACTTCTTAGTACTTTCCCATTATAGGAGGCCTCGAAATGCAAGTTGTACTTTCCTCTGAAATACAATAATAAACATCAGTATAGTTCTACTGAAGGCTTCAACATTTTAAATAGAAATATAGGAGTTCCAATATACAGTAATCTTTGACTTACAACCATTTTTTTTACAACTGGCACAGCATCCCCATGGTCATGTGATTAAAATTTTGACATTTAGCTACTGGCGTGTATTTACAAACAGCACACGAATGGCTTCTTTTCTTGGTCTCTTGGCAGCCTTTGGTATCATCACCTATGAAATTATTTTGGACTGTTTTCAGGGACTAGGTATATAGGTGGCACTATATTGTGCTGATTCTCCTCCTTTTTCCCTGGATGGTTTCAGTCAGTGTCTGAAGCTTGTGGTCCTTGCTTTGTGGAATTCCAAGAGATTTGGTACTTTCCTCTCACCCATTTAACATCTACATAAAGCTGATGGGTGAGATCATTCATCACTATGGAGTAACTGTCTTCAATACACTGATGAAATTCAGTTTAACACATCTGTCCATGATAAACTAAAATATGTTGTGATGTTGTAGTGACTGGAAGCTGGGAACAAAAGCTTTCAGCTTAACTGTAGCAAGACTCGGTGGCTTTGGGGACTTCTGGTTTTAGGGATTTATCATCTCTTGTTCTTAATCAGGTGGCACTGCCCTGAACAGACATTGTGTGCATTCTGGACATCCTCCTGAATTCCAGATTTCTTTATGTAGTTTTGTGTTGGGTGCCATTTGTACCATTTCTTGGACCACGACACATTGCTCTCTATCACTCATTTACTGATTACCTCCCAAATATTACTGTCATGTGCCCTACATAGGGCTGCCTTTAAACTGTGCTTCCAGGTGCAACTCCACAGTTATATCTACCTGTCCCATTGGATCTGGAAGAGAGGCATGTTACGGCTCCTGTCTACTTTCATCTGATAGGAAGAGAACGTTTTCTACCTTGGTATCTACCTTTGAAATGTCATTCCCCAGAATTTAGGTTATCCCCCCTACTCTATTGGCTTTTTTGAAAGCACTAAAGGTATGGCTGTGCTACCATACTTGAGAGTCCGGTGGTAATGGTGAACCTCTTTAATAGTTATACTGAATTAGATGTATTGATATTTAACTACTGATTTTTGTACTGAATTGAATTTGCAATAGTGATTTTAATATAATTGTCTATTTTTATTGTCCTTGCTATTGATGTAATTATTGTGAGCTGTATCATATTTATATATATGTATACACACCCACCCCATATATCATATACCATATCATTTAATTATTATTTCAACTTTTTCATTATAGGATATGATAGCTGATACATTAAATTAACATGACACAAATTTAAATATATACAAACCCCACCTTTATGGTTTTTCAATGACTAACATTCAATTTGTTCATCTGGACTTTACATCTGGCATTTTGCAACATTTGCTTTTTAAACAAAATTTGTAATGTTTGCAGTCATGTGATTTTTGTTTCTTTGAATCTTGATTTTCTTGTGGGTTTAATTGTTGGTATTATTCCTGCTTATCCTTATTTCCCATTTATAGCACCCACCAGATCCAGAATTAGAGAGAACAATTTTTAAGATAAATACGTAAGTTTCTATGCCATCATAGCAGGATTATTAAATATATATTTTAAGTATATTCTGAATAATAGGAAGAATTTTAATCACTTACTTAGGAGCATGAATAGTAAGAACTCCAAAGTTCGCTCGACCAGTTACATTTGTTTGATACAGCATATTTGAAGGAACAATCTGGAAAAAAAATTCTTCTTATGACAAAATACTGATAAAGCTTACTAAATAACCTTTTTTTTCCTATATATTCTTGACTTCCCAGTAAAATACAATATTCTGGAGATGATTTATTATGAACATGTTCCAATGTTTTTTGCTCTAATTGTATTTTTGTATCAGTTTGTATATTTGATAGGCTTAATTGATTTAATCAATGAAGTTTTATCTATCAAGTGAAATAATTCCGCAGAAAGAAACAAGATGCCATAGGAAATAAACTTTAGTACAATATATGGGCAATCAATCTCTATGGTATAAGGAAGTTGTAATGGGAAGAGCAAGTTCTACTTACCTTTATTTCATTATCTTTTACAAGTTTGATTTTGACATTAGGTTCATTGGATGGATTATTCCACTGATCACAGAGCTGGATTATAAGAGCCTTTGGTAATTCTTTGCCATTAATTACAGATATAGCCTTTAAAAAAGATTATTATTTGGAATTATGTAGAATATATAGCATGCATATGCTATTTCATTAATTATTTATGAATATAAATTCAAATTACATTTTTTGTTTCAGTGCTCACTTTTATACCAGATAATAAATATGTCAAGCTTTCAAGCATACTTAATAAACCATGCAACTTTCAAATTTTACAGATTCGCAAAATTGTTAGCATAGCATCATTTGGTTAGTATTCTATCATATGCCATTGACTTACTTTGCCTGGTTCTATCCAATCCAGAAGACCCAATTTAGCAGGATGGCCAGCAATCAAATTTAACTTCAGGTAATGGGACAAATCACGCCAAGCAACGTGCAGTTCTTTAACTTCTGGTGGGCCTGGTTCAAACTTAATTCCTTTGATAGAAATAGTTTGTGTAATTTCCTATAAAAATATGTAATAAGAGTTGAAGAAAACTTGTTAGAATTTTATGGGGAAAATTAGTTAATTGTAAAAGCATAACAAGAAAATACCATATTATTCAGAGTATAAGACACTCCAAAATATAAGACGCACTTAGCTTTTGGGGAGGAAAACAAGAAAAAAAACTGCCACTGCCCCTTCCTCCCAGCAATTTGCCTCCTTGCAGCAAATAGCCTGGTCAGCATCAGCGCAGCCTAATTGAACACAAGCAGCTGATTGTTGGTGGAATTATCTCCAGACAACCAGCTGTTTCAGGCTGTAGGGATTGACATTGCCTTTTGCCGCCTCTGTGTACCCCATTTTCGGCCTCTGCATCCCACTTTTGGCCTCCGTGTGCCCCATTTTCTGCCCATGCCAATCCCCATGGCCCAGAACAGGCAGAAAATGAGGTGTGCGAAGACCAAAAATGGGATGCGGAGGCCGAAAATGGAGCGTGCGGAGGTGGCAATTGGCAATGGTGATGCCTGCAGCCTGAAACAGCTCATTGGTGGGAGGCAATTCCAATCGACAATCAGCTACTTGTGCTCAATCAGGCTGTGCTGAAGCTGACCAGGCTGTTTGCTGCAAGGAGGCAAATTGCTGGGAGGCAGAGGAAGGGTGGGAGCTGGTGGGTGGGCGGGGCTTGGGCAACCTTTGCTGTATAAGGTGCACAGACATTTCTGCCTGTTTTTTTTTTGGGGGGGGGGAGTGCATCTTAAACACCGAAAAATATGGTACATATTGCATATCTGATACAAAGTAACTGAAATCTAAAGCTAAATTTGGTCCAAGAATTTATGTGAGTTGACAAAAGTTATAATATATTTCACAGAAATTTGGATCAAATATATCATTTTACATATAGTGATGTTTAGGAGTTGGGAACCCTTTTAAATATTAAGTATTTCTACAGCAATATAACCTAAAACTTGACTGGTTTTTCACAAAATTCTAAAAGTAGATAAAGAGAACCCAATTAACACATTTGTTTATGAATAATAAAATAGTTTTCCTAGGATTGAAAAGGTATTCTAGCCATCTCTTAATATTCATGTAACTGTAAAGGACTTATGACCACAAATAGGACTAAAACCTCTGTCATTTAGAGATGTAGTCATTAAGTGAATTATCACATGATCAATTGAATTGTCACACCAATTTTATGACCTTTATAGTTAGTGTCTTTACGTGAATCATAGTTGTTATGTGAATCCGTTTTTCCACCCATTGACTTTGCTTCTTGGAAGCTAGATGGGAAAGTTACAAATGGTGACCACATGTTCCTCAGATACTGTAATTGTCATAAATGCATGCCGACTGCCAATTGCCTGAATCATGATCACATACATGATTGCAGGGATGCTGTGAGTTTAAGGAGCAGCTGCAAAATACTTTTTTTCAGTACTGTCATAACTTAGAATGACTTCTAAATGAATGACTAGAGGTCAAGAATTTCTTGTAAGCTTCTTCAGAGATAGAGGTGTAAATTCCTCTCCCTATTTTTTTAAAGCAAAAAATATTTTAATAGATATAATGTGGGATATTAAAAAAAATACCTTCCAAAAAGTTTTCAATTCTGATTTATCCAGACCATTTCCAGAAATCTTCAAGGCATTCATACAAGATGACAGGGATTGAATCTGATTTCCATGCTGATCAGTAATCATTATCTCTTTATATATATATATATATAAAGTACAAGTTATAAAAATATTGTAGAATTACAATACAGATTAAAATATTACCATATTTATAATATGTTATTGTAAACTACATTCTACATAAAGCTTAAAAGTTCTCCTTGATGTTAAATACAACAGTAGTTTGATTTCATGCTTATTCAAGATCTGAAATGGGCTTAACTACGCAAACATAATATTTTATCTCAAGTCTAAATGTAATAGAAGCCTAGAATCTTAGTCAACATGCCATTAATGCAAATTTAACAGTAGATTTACTTTGCATAATATGGACAGATTGGAACTCAAATATCTTCAGAACTGACTGAGTAAATAAAAGCAACACGATTGCAGCTGGTGAATATATTGCCATGGTACTATCAAGGTGTCAGTTAAAAATGTTAAGAGTTACACATATATACCAATTTCATCTTGCAGCTTTTCACCCATTTTTATTATATTTGGTCCTTTAATTTTGCATTTGATATGTTTTGGCTCATCAGCAAGTGGTCTAGTGAAATAAACAACAAGAGATTAATATACATTTTAAGGAAATAGAGGTAAATTTCATATTGTTCATACTTTGTATAGCTAATCTTTACTGAGATTCGGGCAGGGACATTTGCAGAAATGGGAGTGGAGGAGGGGAGAAAATGACAGAACATGTGTTGTGATGTAATGCAAACTCTACCCCTTGTATACTTTGCATATGACACTGCTACAAATACAAAAGGGCAGACCATCCATTTTGTTGTCATGATACATGTTTTGTTATTTTGGCATCATTTGGCATCATTAAGGCAACATGCAGGTTTTGATCTTCTTCATTCCCAATAACTACAAACCCTACGATGGAGTAATTAGAAAGCACCTCTTTTCCCGCTCCTGAAGTGATCTTGTGGCTTGAAGCCCAAAAACAGTTGTGCTTCTACTTTCTACTTATCAGACACAATCTTCTAGGCTTCACTAAGTGTCCCCCTGAACATTGATCTTTTCCAGAGAAAACTGTAGAAAGACAATCACACAATTGTGAAGGCAGTTGGCAACTGGTTGTAAATGTGAGCAGGCTGCCAACCACCCTAAATGTGGTGATTTGATTATAGTTGGGCAGGTGTAACATTTATATATGTTAATATACAGTATGTCTTCTTAACATTCATACTGTATGTCTGTATAAACAAAAGTTGGCAGTAACAGTATTTTGCCCAGCAGGAAAAGCTACAGTATAAGCTTCATTACTGAAACATGATTGAAGAAAATGTACAAACCTGACCACAAATGAACTTGCCAAAGACACGCCTTCATCACTGAATGTAAGCAGACAACAGCATTCATCTTTTACAGATGTTGGAACTTTCACATTAGGTAGTGATCCTTGGATCAGTTCTTTGCTATTAAGCTTTGGAGTCCAGCTTACCTAAGATAAAAAGAATACTTTGGATACTAGAAAATAACATTTTTCCTGGTTTTGATGATTTTTTTTTGGGAAATCCATGAACACCTGGATGTCCTAAATGGAAATACTGTTAATGGATTGAACTGAAAGTGTTTCAATTTAATATAAGCAAACCTGAATATCCAAAATTATGTACATGCAATAAAAGTGTAACATAAATATATTCCCAATATAATGCTGTCACGGTAGACTATGACAACTGTTTGAAATAATTAACAAAAAATATTTTTCAAGAAAGGTGAATCACTTCAAAGTCCATGTAAATTTCAATCCCACCAGAATCATGGATCCTGGATTTTGAACACATTTTGTAAGTTAGCCCATTTGAGAAAACTTCATCCAAAAGTTGTTGACCTGTGATGCATTGCGTCTCCCAGTTAAATGCTTGTGGGTGGTATCCAGATCAGAAAGGTAACAATGCTTCAAATCTGGAGTTGATATCCTCTTGGTACCTTCAGATTGTGCCTTAAAGCTGCGGAAGCTTTTGGAGGCTTACAAAGATACCATAGAGCCATGGTGGCACACAGAGTCCTCTCTGTGGGCATGTGAGGCCGTTGCCCCAGCTCAGCTCTGTCACGCATGTGTGTGTGCGACTCCCACTGGCCAACTGATTTTTGGGTTTCTGCCACGCATGTGCAAGGGGGCAGGGGGCATGCACGGGGTGGGGGGGGCATGCGCGAGATTGCACATGCATGTGTGGGTCTGGGGTGCATGCGCAGGGGTTAAACGTGCATGCATGGGGGTGGAGTGCATGCGTGCAGGGTGCATGCGCAGGGACGGAGTGCACATATGGGAATTACACGTGCATGCATGGGGGTCATGCACGCATGTGTGGGGGGGTACATACATGCACGCGGGCACACGTGTTGCATTTTGGGGGTGCATGTGTGCACGCTTTGGTGCCGAAAAGGTTAGCCATCACTGCCAGAGACTCATGCTAATATGCATCTAAGGTCAAAAGGTGAAGAAAAAAATGCAGCCATATAAGGAGATGGGGGAAGGGGGAACAGGCATCAGTTTTTCCCTCATTGTCCCATAAAGTAACATTGAACTCCTGCTAAATTTTTGTTTCTGCTAAACTACAGTAAATTGAAAAAAGGTTTGGCATTAACTTATTGAAAAGTATAGTTCCTTTTTGGACTTTAAACACAACTCTCCTTTTAAGCATATCCTAATAGTCAGCATTCAATATTCTTTAAGGACTAGCTCTTCACATTCCACAGTAACATTTAAGATTGAGCATTTAAAAAAAATTGAACAGAAGTAGGCAGCTTTCTAAGTTCTATATGTGTGACAAAAAAGAGAACAAGCTGAACTGCTATTTTTTTTCTTTTCCTTGAAGGTTTACAAATATTAATTCATTATAAATGGGCAGCCTAAGTATTAGTCTATTTTGCTTAGAAAATTTAGAGCTGTAATTAAATAAATTAATAAGAACATTTCCAGGCACATTTCCATTATTATATTCACAACATCATCTATACTTACTTTAATTTTTTCAGCTAGAGCTGGAATTATTTTGATTTCTCTTTCTCCTTCATCATACATTTGAAATGTAAGATTTTTTAGCGTTTCACCTGCAACACCATTAATTACTTCTTTGTCTTTAATCTGAACAATGTTTTCTCCTTCACTGCAATAAATCTTAAGTCCTGCAGGACGCCCACTAGGAAGCAGTATGATAGTCTTGTGTACTGGTGGCACATTTTTAAAACTCTAGCAATAAAAACAAAACAAAAAATCACAAGGAAATTTGAATTTTCAAAGGTGTATAACAATATTTTACCTAATAAACCTAATTAATAATAGTATACTATGAATATTTGCAATGTATTTTTAACATAAAATATAATATCTATATATCAAAATACAACTAAGAAACACTACATTTGTTTTTTAAATATGTTGTTCCTACCATAATAGTTCTGATGTCAGTTACAATTGTGATGGTTATATGCTTTTCTTTCAAAAGAAGAAAACATAAATTTGATTTTTTTAAAAAGATTACATTTTTATATCAGTGGTGGGATTCAAATATTGTTGCCACAGGTTCGGTGGGTGTCACTTGGTGAATGCATGCACACACTTTGCGTGCACGTGTGCAGCAAATGCACACTTTGAGCAGGTGCAGAGGTGTTCTAACTTGCCTCCTGCAAGCTTGGATGGTCCCAGTCACTTCAGCCGCCGCCGTGCGGCACTATTCTGTGCCGCGCAAAGCAGCTGCACTTCCAATTCAGTGGATAAAGGTGAGTATGGGAGCCCGGGCAGGCAGGTGGGCCCAACAGCAGAGCAAACCGTTTCAGTCTCTGCTGCTCATTGCTCTTACTGGCTCTCCAGGACTGGGTAAAACGGGTTGAATACCACCACTGTTTTATCTGATTTTTTAATTGAAATTTAAAATTACAAAGATAAAAACTAATACGAACTAAGGAAAATAATATAGAAAGTATAAAATCACTTAACTTCTTTCATCCAAACAAGTATAAACATTTTTAATAGTTTAATACCATCTCTGATATTTCAACCAAAACTCTCTTTATTCCATAAATCATCTTTTATTCTATTGGCAAATAATAAAAATCTTTTAATCCTAATCACGAAAAGTCCATGGCTAATATATAAAAACAAATCTTTAAAACTTCATCATTCAAACATAATCAAGAAAAATCCATTAATTACGAGAAACAACAAATTGAAAATATTAATATTTAATTCCTTCAATTGCTATTCCACAAATTAATTTCTTATTATTTCTCTTCATCTCTACTCAATTATTCATATCATAGCTTATTATTTCCTCTAAAAATACAACAAAATCTTCTTATATTTTTTCCATTAAAAACTATTTTAATGGCTCAACGTTAAGTCCTAGTCAGGAAAAACCATTTAAAAGCTTTAAGAAAAGAAGTGGATTATATACTGTAATATACACATAAACCTTGATCAAATAGGCTCACTTTGTAGATCTTAGTTTTAGTCTTAAAGATCTGGATTCCTTTTAGGTAATGTCCAAATTGGTTCTTCTCTCTTTTGCTTTTCTCAAAGTTCCCTCATAATAAACACTTCTCTTTTGTAAAAACTTGAGTATCCAAGTTGTTCTTCTGGTTTATTATTTGTGTATGTCTTTTAATTATTGAAACTTCAGCCAGTTTCATTTGTTGCTCTTATATAACATCTTATATAATATTCCTACATCAATTCATTTTAAATTCATATCCAAAACAGTCTGATTTTCGGTTATATCCTATGTCTTGTTTTAAGACCATTTTTATTGATTCATAGAGAGTCTAAAACAGGGGTGTCAAACTGGCACTCCAGATGCATTGCGCACAGGCCACATCCATCCCAGCTCCGCGAATGGGAGAAATGTCACAAAACGTCATGTGACAGCAAAATGATATGTTTGACACCCATGGTCTAAAGCAGGGGTCATCAACCTTTTCGAACTCGGGGACCACCAAACTCATAATTTTAAATCTATCTATATATAAAACACACACACACACACACAAATGCTTATTTAATTATAACAAAATCAATAAATGCTTAATCATAACCATGGGTAGAGCGAAGGAAAAGGAGGGCCTCTCTCATCCTTTGGGGGGGCGGGAAAGAGGGAGGATTTAAGAAACCACATGGTGCCTGGAGGCTGGGAAGATCTGGAAGGGGAGGAACTGGCTCCCCCTCAAACAGAAGAAAAGCAGAGCCATCTCATATCTTCCCCAAGTCAAAGGAAACCTCTCCCTCCTTTGCCAGGTGTGGCTGCCTGGAGTTAGTTGGGGGAGGGAAGGAGGGCCGGGCTGGAATCACCGATGGGCTCCTAATAACCAGGCAACACCACCCCTTTAGCCGCAACACAAGAAGAGGACTCCCCGAGGCTAAGCTCCAGGTTTCTCCTTTCGCTTCCAAGCAGAGAAGGATCCCTCCCTGTGTGGAGGCTGAAGGGGGGGTCAAGTCCAGAAAAGCTGGAGCTCTCGCCTGCACAAGCAGGATGATTATTACGAGCCCACCTTCCTCAGCGCTTTTTTGGTCTGGGCATTTGGTCTCCCTCCCCCATCCCATGCCAAAAGAAAGCCAGCCAGGCTTCTCCTTCCTTCCTACCCTTCCCTCCCCCCCCCCGGGGGGGGGGAAATGCATGCTGGAAATGTGTGTTGGCTTTTCCAACATGCTTTTCTCCAGCATTCACTTGCAATTCTTCACGTTCCTCCAGGCCTGGATTGCTGAACGGGGAGAACAGCTCTGATGTCTCTGCTGCCCCACCAGGAAAAGAAAGCAAGCAGAAACAGCTCTCGCTGGGGCAAAAGAGCAGAGGTCAGAAGGCACAGGCAACAGAAAGCAGCGCTTTTCAAAGGCAGCAGCTTCCATCTTCTCTTGCCTGTGCCTTCCTCGACCTCAGCTCTTTCGCCCCAGCGAGAGCTATTTCTGCTCGCTTTTCCTGTGCTTTCCACAGGCAGCGATGGCTTGGACCATGGGGGAGTGGGCAGCAGCAAAGCAGAGTACCAAGAGGGACGAGGAAACTGATGCCTCCCCTGCTGCCCGATTCCAAACCTCTGAACTGGATGGTGAGCGCAGACTTGCCCACTCTGCCCCCTCCACCACCACAAGCCAGTGCTTTTCCTGCCCCAGGCCATCCCTACAGCCTGCAGCCATCGAGGAAGAGCCCAGGCCAGGAGAGGCAAACTGGAAGGTGCGGAGTGCCGTGCAATTGCAAATAGCATGGCGCTCCTGTTCCTTCTGGCCATCTCCATTGCCGCTTCAGCCCACCTATGCCGCCAGCTCCCTCTTGCTGCAACAGCACCATTACCTCGTCCTGCCCGGCAAGGACTGCGCTGCTTTTTGCAGGTTTGCGCTTGGCTAATGGGTGAGAGCCAGTGGTGGGCAGGCTTTGGGTGGTGTTTTGGGGGGCATTTCTCTGCGGCCCACCAAAATTTTCTCACGGCCGACCAGTTGGCTACCATTGGTCTAAAGAGTATGGTTTTTTTGCCAAGTATCCTTAAATTCTTTCAGGGTTAAAATATTTTTCTTCATTCTATATTAGTGGGAATTCTCCTTTAACTATAATCTTTATTTATTTCTGATTGCTTCCTTAACCAGTCTTCAAATTCTTTTCTTAGCATGTTTTTCTCTCATCCAGAACATTTTCCAGGAAAGGATTTCTTACACTAAAACTCAGATCCTCATATAGTTAAATAGGATTTTATACAAGCAATATTCTAACTTTTTCAAAGTCTTATTTCCATTCAATCTTGATCCAGTTAATTTCCTTCCAAAAATAACAGTCTAATTGCCTTTAGCTGCTTAATTCCAAATTTTTAAAAAGTTTTTCTTTAAGTTTCAAACTTATAGTTTACTGTGGGTTGGAGGAAGATCATCCAGTATAACAAAACGTATACTTTTGGAAGTTCTTAATGTCCAAAAAGTAATTTATAAGCCATTTCCAATAAAAGTGATTTAGTGCTAACAAACACAGCGTTCTTATAAAATGCTGTTACTCCCTACTTGTAAAAGCCATGACTGACATGCTTGTACAAAAATTAACCAAGTTCAAGATTCAAAGATATTTCTTTCAGTTGCTGCAGATGTTAACACAATTTTTTTTCTAATATGCCAGGGAATAGTCTAAGAAATTACATATATTTGTTCCCCATGATGTTCATGTCTGAAGTTCACCTATAATCTTAAAAGAAATTAAAAGTTATATCAACACCAAAGACTATTTTATGCTTTGTCAGCTTTGAAAAAAAACATTCTAGTTAGGCTAAAAGCATTGATAGTAGACAGAGAAAAAAATATGCAAGGGTTCTAGCATTCTGGAAGGAGGAGGGGGAATATCTTTAACTTACTGGTATTTCAATTTTTGCTTTAAGGTTTTGATCTTTCTTTATATTTTGAATGTGCAGAACTGGTCCAGTTAATGTATTTTTTTCAGGGCTGCTGAAATCTACAGAATATACAGGAAGGCCTGGAACTCCTAAAAACTAATATAATCAAGAATAATTTCGATTAAGGTTATGGCCCATTCAAGCTGGCATAACTGTCTTAGAACTAAATTTTAAGACAAGACTACAAACATGATGAAGTAACAATGGTTTATTCCTATAAAAAGGATGACGTTTTCAGTAACTACATATGCTATGGGTTCACAGAATATTTCCATAATGTTATTTTCAGCAATATAAGCAATTGTATTTGAGAGACACTGCCTACCTTGCACTGAACAAGCAGGTTTGGTTGAACTGTTATGTTACCTACTTCATCCAATACCTCAACATGAAAAGAGAAAGCTGTTCCATTCTCAATTGTCAAGACATCAGAATCTGGTTTCACACTTAGCTGCTGAGGAAGGCCTGTTGGAGGTCAGAAACTGACATTTAATTTATTGCTACAAGCATTAAAAGAATTACCTTTTTAGCATTAAGTAAAATGGGTGGCCAATTAATTTTATCAATAAAAAATAAAATGTCCAAAAACAAACTAAAAACTTTGAAAATGTCAATATTTTCAATTATATCCATGCCATAAACAATACAATACAATGTACAAGATATGGATATGTAAGCCAATGCAGCCAATCTTCTATTTTTTTCAATTAATGATTTTTATATAAGATAACCTAAAGTTAAAAAGAGATTTCACATTTTCATTTTTATATATTTTAGTAAAATTAATGTTTAAATTATATTTTGTGTTACTCTATTTTGCCAAAGTAAATTGGGGAGATGATTGTTTACCCTTGCCACGTACTTCAAAGCCATGAGAAAACACTATAGAAACTAAACTAAAAGATTAACACCCCCCCCCCCCCCCCGGAAAAAAAAAAAAAGCAGCACTGGCAAAACACTTATGGTTTGGAGATGTTCATGTAGTCACCAGGAGTCAGCTTCACTAAAGATATATTTTTTAAAAAATATTTCTTACATTCAACAGTGAAAGAGAATGCTGAATGTTCATTATTATGTATTGGTTCACTTCAAATGGTCATATAAAATAACTGGAAAATTTCAGGGACCATTTGAAAATAAACAAAGCTTCCCTTGTAGTGAATGTTACCTGTTTCTTTTTTCTTTTTAATGCTTATATGGTGTTTAAGCATTTCAAAGTTCTATATGGTTCAACATTTTCCATTCCCTTCTCTCACAGTAATCCTGAACAAAGATAAGGCTTCTCATTGTCCAGGCAATGTCAAAGACATTTTTTTTTCAAAAGGTAAAAGGCCTAAGTTATTTGAAGGTCTAAGTCCAAAATAAGTATGTGTGGGTGTGGGCACGTGTGTATGTATATGTGATGGCTAATAAATGTTGACTTCTAGCTTCTGCCTGGATAAATCCCTTATGTGTATTTGACAAAATTTAGGGATTGTTTTTTTTAATCTGCTTCTTGAGATAAAAAAAGTGTGACTGGCTCCAAAATCACCTAGTTGGCTTTATGCCTATGGCAGGATTAGAACTCATCTGTTGGTTTCTGCCTGATACCTTAAGCACCGCACCAAACTGGCTCTCTTCTAAAACCCTTACACTATTTTTTCCTCTGAAATATGACAAATCAGAAATCTTCATTTTTCATATTCATCTCATTCTCCTGATATTCAGTATAGCTATTTGTACTATGTTCATGTTAATCAACCAGAAAAACAATACCACAAAAGTTGATCTGATCTATGCAGAAACTGGATTCCAATAGGTCTACAAAATGTACATCTCTTTGTAAATCATTACATTAGTGTCATTTTCAACATATGCTTAAATATATTCCAAATATTTTACTTACCTGGGAGAAATTTAATTTTCAAAACTTGGGATTCTTCCTTTAGACCAGGAACAATGATCTTTAGATTAAAGTTCTGTTGAAATAATAAGATATAAGAGTAATAAAACATTTGTGAATGTCAGGCCCTCAGGAAACATGAAATTCAGTATATTTAGCTGATTATGCAACCAATAATAATAGTACAACTGTGTTTGACTATTTAGTACTTATAGTGAATACTCTTAAAAAGCAATTACATAAAAGTACAAAAAATTGTCAAAGTATATGTTTGCATCTTTACTTGTAGTGAATATTATGGAATATCCCCAACTATTGATTTTTTAGTTCCTTCCCAAACTCTGCTTCAAATTATATTCAGATTATCCCATCATTTGAAAGGCACGCTGCTACTTCAGATTCATAATCTATCAAAATCAGTTGAACTAAACAAACAACTTTAATGTTTTTAAAGCAAACAGCTTTAAATGTTTTATTAATAGAATAACAGGTTTGTTGTGATAGCTGCAAATTCTATTTTAAAACTATCCATTAATTAGATAATAAAAATTTTCATTTTGTATTGAAAAAGATTAACTTGCCTTGCCTTGCCAATTATTTACACAGCCTTTAGCAATTATGCCTGTAATGACACAATTTCGTCTTCTTTTTATTTCTTCATACTGTAATCTTAGACCGCTACAAAATAAAATCAATAGAAGACATCAATACATTTTTAATGTTAGTTATCATTGATGAGATAAATGGTTGTTTCAGTAAGGATTTTTTCTTTCTAATTCATCTTAGAGACCAATCATACTGTACCAAATAGCATGTGTGAGAGATGCATGTCCTCACAATTTGTATTATCTTATAGTCAATGAAAGGTAAAAAAATTAGAAAGAAATCTCGTGGCCTTGTAGTTGCTGGAAGTTTTAACTCATCCATTCTTCTTTAAAGAAACAGCTCAATACCACAAAAATAAAAGCTTTATTTTAAAGGAAGATACTATAAAAAAATACTAAACATTAAACACTCAAAGTGTAAACATTTAGCAATGAATGATTGAGACGTAACTTGATAAAACAGGAAAGAAAAATCTCATATGACAATGTCTGAATGGACCACAAGATGGCAATGATACATTATAAATGGGATTTTACTTAATTATACTTATTCTTTATTTATTTGATTACAACACCGAACTCGCAAAAGTGATTCTGTGCGGCTTATTCTTATTAGAACAAGAATCTTTTGTAGATAAAAATATCAAATCTTCTAAACATGACTGATGTATGATTCAACACTGTCGAAAAGTATGATTACTGAGCTTAGTGCAAGGTACACTGGATTTAAGGATATCTAGAAAAATAGAATAGAATAGAATAGAATAGAATAGAATAGAATAGAGTAGAATAGAAGAGAATAGAATAGAATTCTTTATTGGCCAAGTGTGATTGGACATTTGTCTTGGTGCAAATGCTCCCAGTATACATAAAACAAAAGATACATTTGTCAACAGTCAAGAATCATAAGGTACAACACTTAATAATAGTCATAGGGCACAATAAGCAATCAAATCATACTAGGAAACAGTCAATATACATTGTAAGGATACAAGCAACAAAGTTACACTCATTCAGTCACAAGTGGGAGGGGATAGGTGATAAAGAGTGATGAGAAGATTAATAGTAATAGTAGTGTAGACTTTGTAAATAGTTGGACAATTTTGAGGGAATTATTTGTTTAGAAGAATGATGGCATTCAGAAAAAAATTCTTGTGTCTAGTTGTTCTGGTGTGCAATGCTCTATAGCGTCATTTTGAGGGAAGGAGTTGAAACAGTTTATGTCTGGGATGTGAAGGGTCTGTAAATATTTTCACAGCCCTCTTTTTGACTCGTGCAGTATACAGGTCCTCGATTGAAGGCAGGTTGGTAGTAATGGTTTTTTCTGCAGTCCTAATTATCCTCTGAAGTCTGTGTCTGTCCTGTTGGGTTGCAAAACCAAACCAGACAGTTATAGAGTTGCAGATGATAGACTCAATAATTCCTCTGTAGAAGGACTCCAGAAGGCGGAGCCTCCTCTCTGACAGACCGTAGATCGCATCTCGCTGTAGCTATGGTCCGTGCTCTTTCGTTGGAGAGCCCCGGTCATTACTATTAGGGGCTGAAGCTGCCTTGGAGGGGCGGTGGAGTAAGGGGAAGCTGCAAGCCAGGTTGAGTGGAGCCGCATTTCCCCTCCTGGGCTTGGTCTTTTTCCACCCAAAGACAACTGCAGCAGTGGTTTAAAATGGCCACTCCGAAAAGGAGGACTCAACTGGATTAAGATTTGTGCAGTAGGGAAGAAAGAGGTGGATAACATCTGAACTGGGACAATTGGGTGATACAACTACACAAAAGTACCCCGGGATTAAGGTAACATGGAATTTTTAAGAAAAGAAAAGTGAGTGGTGAACTTACAAAGGGACAGGAAAAAAAATTAGAAAGTATTTCTGACAGCTAAGCAGGGCTTCGAACCAAGAAAGGAAGAAGCTGGAACTAAAGATTTAACTAAATTGGACTAAAATATTTTGGCAATAAACAGGTATAAAATAAAGCTGGACTTAAGATTGTCAAAAAATAATAATAGTAAAGTTTACAAATTGGAGACTGGACTGTGTTGGAATATTGAGGTTCGAAAAACCCTAAATAAAAAAATAGGGGAAAAAGGTGAAGACTTTGTATAATGGAGAATGCCATCTTTTGACAAAAAGAGAAAGCATCCTGTTTCTGAATGAACTTGTGTGGATATAACATTAAAGAAATACTGAAACAAAGTAAGAATCTTAGAAAGTGAAAGCAGAACCAGAATAAAGAAAAAAGCAAGGAAAGACTGACTGTGGGATTTGATGTTTTTGGTATAGACCCTGGGCTGGAATAATTGAGAACTTTAGAAAATTGAAAAAAGAAAGAAGGAAAGTAAAAGTGGTTTTTTTTGTGGACTTTAATGATCAAAAAAAAATATAAGAGTGTGTAATGATGATATCTCTTCGGGAATTAAAAATGGAACTTAAAAATATGAGAGAATTACTACAGGAAAGAGGCGAATCACTTTGTTCTGTGTTAGAAAAAATGGAAATGGCGATTGAAGAACAAGAAGAAAGAGCTTTGGAGGAGTCGACTCAAGGAAAAGACATTTTAAATAGACAATTAACACAAAGAACGCTACAAAGAAGCGGAGAAAGAAGGAAGGTTAAAAAGTTGAGATTTAAGAAGGCAATCAAAAGGGGGAATACCTGTGAAGTCAGGAAAGGCAGAAAGACCCAGCAGAAAAGGGGAAAGGAAGATATTAAGAAAGAGAGGGATATAAACTGGAATGAGAAAAGATATGGGAAAAAGAGGGGGAGGAGAAGCAGTAAGAAACAGGCGCATGCAATAAAGACTATTAAAATATAGACTATTAAAAGCAAGGAGAGACATTGGCAACTTATTATTAGTAGTAGTATTAGTATTATTATTAGTATTAGTATTATCATGAGGCAAACACATATTATCTTTATTTTTAAAATAAATATTAAAGGATTATATTGAAATAATTGAAATGAAACAAAAAGATGTTTCGATTGAGATTAATGAAAGAGGCTAGAATTAATGTGTTCGTTTCACTCCTTACTGAAAATTTGGAATGGAAAAGGTAATAATAGAATTAAGTATGCATATATGAATGTATAATTGCTGTCATATTTGTATGTAAAGGTGATGACCCGGAAATATGTTGTCCACTAAAAAGAGATTTTTGTTTTTATGTGAAAAACTGAATAAAATTTGTTAAAAAAATAATAATTCCTCTGTAGAACTGGATCAGCAGCTCCTTGGGCAGATTGAGCTTTCTGAGTTGGCGCAGAAAGAACATTCTTTGTTGTGCTTTTTTGATGACGTTTTTGATGTTAGGTGTCCATTTTAGGTCATGTGATATAATAGAACCTAGAAATTTGAAGGTCTCTACTGTTGATACTGTGTTGACTAGTATTGTAAGAAGTGGTAGTATGGGAGGGTTTCTTCTAAAGGCTACCACCATTTCTATGGTTTTGAGTGTGTTCAGTTCCAGATTGTTCCGGTTACACCACGAGGCAAGTTGTACAACCTCCTGTCTGTATGCCGATTCATCGTTGTCTCATATGAGACCAATCACTGTTGTATCATCTGCAAACTTCAGTATTTTAACAGATGGATCACTTAAGATGCAGTCATTGGTATATAGGGAGAAGTGTAGAAAGCACACAGCCATGGGGCCCCCCTGTGCTAATTGTACAGGTATCAGATTCCTAGCTTCACTTGCTGCTTCATGTCTGTTAGGAAGCTTACAAACACTTACAAATGTGTTCAGATACCGCTAACTGGTTTAATTTACTTAGGAGAATGTCTGGAATGATGGTATTGAATGCTGAACTGAAGTCTACAAAGAGGACCCTTGCGTAGGTATTTGGAGGTTCAAGGTTTTGTAGGATGTAGTGCAGAGCCATATTAACAGCATCATCTGTCAATCTATTTGTTCAGTATACCAAACTGCATGGGATCTAACAGCGGATCCATGATGGTTTTCAGATGGGACAGCACTAGCCTTTCAAAGACTTTCATAACTACAGAGGTTAGAGCAACTGGTTTGTAGTCATTTGGTTCCTTGATGTAGGGCTTCTTTGGCACTGGAATGATAGGAGAGTGTTTGAAGCAGGAACAAACATAGCACATCTCTAGTGATTTATTGAAGATGCGGGTGAAGATGCGGGCCAATTGGTCAGCACAGACTTTTAAGCAAGAAGGAGTTATCTTGTCTGGCCCTGGTGCTTTTCCTGGCTTTTGTCTGTGAAATAGATCTTGCACTTCTTTTTCTGTGATCTCCTGTTCTGACCCATGCCCTTTTCCGACAAATCAAACACAATTCAAAAAGAAACAGAAACCATATAATGCTTTTACAAAATAATTAGCTGCGATAAGTACAAGCCTTGCCAAGCTGTGCAAGACTTGCCAAAAGATAACAGACAAGAAATAATTTGCAAAATAAGAATCTTCAAATACAAATTCAGGATACTGGAAATGTCCACGAGGCTGGGGTTTCAAAACGTTTTTGCCTTCTGCAAAGAAGGTTAGTTTCACAGCTGGCTTTTATCTTCTTGAAGAGGTTCCATTATCTTGCAGCCTTACTCCTGAGTCTTCTGTGCTGTTGTAACTGCTTTTTCCTCTGAGCAATCCTGTGCTCACGCGCACTTAGCACAGGCTCCTCAGAAACCTCCTCATCACTGCTGCCAGCCGCCACAATCTCTGAAGGCAGCAGTCCCCTCCCTAATGGTCCTGCCCCACATCTGAGTCCTTGTCTCCTCAGTCGTCCACACCTGCTGCTGGCTAACCACAACATCACCAGAGATTGTGAACCCAATGGATTGCGGTCAGTTGTAGGAGGCTTGGCTGATGGCGTGTTTGAGATGGGGGTTGTGGAGATAGGTGGCTATAGTTTCCTTTCAAACCTGCAGTAAAACACATGCAGGTCATCTGCTAGTTGTTGATATCTTTCTTCCTGGAAAGGAGGTTTGCTGTAGCCATCAGCCAGTGAAGTTTTAAGAGTTTTCCACATGTTTGCTGGTTCATTTGTTGAGAACTGATTCCTTAACTTTTCAGAGAGCTTCTTTTTGCCCCTCTGAACTTTCTTGTTAATATGTTTCTGGCCTGATTGTACAGCATTAAGCTGTAATCAAGCTTCTACGTAACATGTTCATCTATGCTGTAGAGATAACCTGCCTCTGAAGCATAGTTCTTTACATTTCCCCCACTTGGGCTTCATCATTCTATTGTAAATCCATGATTCCCTTTTTTGTTGAAGCTCACATGTCCTCAATATCTATTCATGAACTTTTGACCTCCACTGCCTTCTGATGATGATGCAAAGAGAGATCTAATGCCACACCACTTTTCTCAGCCATTTAGTTCTAGAGGGTTCTGGGAGAATCACTGCTGCTAGTATTGCATGGCAATGTATCTAAAATGTAAGTGGGGAGGTGTACCATACCTCTCATAATGCTACTGAGCTTATTACTGCTGATCATTTCTGGTTTATTGTTTCTCTGGAAACAAATACAATGGCTGCCAACTAAATATGCATAGTGTATCACTATCTAGGAATGCATCTGTTCAGACTGATTTACTCTGTCCAAGCAATGGAAAGAATTGGGAAAGAATTCTTATGGTACTGGAGAAACATTCATATCATATAAAAGTGGGAAAGACTTTGTTCTTGTTTTCCCCCTAAGGCATCAATTCATAATGCATTGGAGAAAATAATGATAAACCACTCCTGTATTTTTAGCAAGAAAACTACATGGATAGAAAATACAAAATGATGGATAATTTAGTGCTGTATGATTAGATCGGATGGCATTAACATCCTACTGAGGAAGAGCTGAGAACTGTTTGGAATACTCATGGTGTTTATGATGTGGCTAGATTAAAGCCTTTGGGGTGTTTAATTCCATACAAGAAAAGATAATCTTAAACTACAGAGATAGAATTGTAGTTGGAATACAGAATTTGAAAAGCATGGACACGGAAAAGCTCAGCACAGTGAAAGATGAAATGAAATGGCTATAAATTGATATTTTAGGCATCATCAATTGAGATGGAGTGAGATAGGACACTTTCAGTTAGAAGAGTACTGTATTATAATCAGAACATGAAAAACAAATAAGAAATAGTGTTGCTTTTATAGTTACGAATGGTATATAAGAATAGTACTTAGCTACAGTACAATCAATGACTGAACAATATTAGTTAAATTTTGAGGGAAACCTTTTAATATAAAGTAGCAATAGCACTTAGACTTATATACAGCTCCACAATGTTTTAACAGCCCTCTGTAAGCAGTTTACAGAGTTTGCATATTGCTCCTAACAATCTGGGTCTTCATTTTATCAATCTCAGAAGGATGGAAGCCTGAGTCAACCTTGAACCTATCAGAATCAAACTCCTGGCAGTGGGCAGAGTCAGCCTGCAGTACTGCATTCTAACCACCGTGCCACAAGGCTCCTTAATATGATTATTAAGTTTAACTTCCAACCACCGATGCAGAAGAGGAGGTTGGTGATTTCTGTGATCAAATTCAGTTTGAAATCAATGGAACCTGTAAGTAAGTAAGAAGTCCTGGGATTGGTGACTAGTTGGAAACATAAAAGAGGAAAATGTGGTTAGACTGTATGGCTTAGGAAACCAAAATGGAACTGGTGACCATCTTTTCAATTTCTGCACTCCAATGATTTTATCATAATAACATTGTCAAACAACCAAAATGCCTCTATATATGGACATCCCCAGATGGAGTGCATAGAAATAAAATTGACTATGTTATTGTTGAAAGGAGGTGAAGGAGTTGAATTATAGCACCAAAGACATGACGGGTACTGACTGTGGAACAAATCAGGAACTGCTCATGTGCAGGCTCCAAGTACAGTTAAAGAAGAAGAAAGCCATTTAGGTTCCACAATATAATCTTCAACTTCTTCCCACCATTCTAAAGGAGAAAATCAGAAATTGCTTTCAAATTCAGAATTTGATTGTTAGAGAAGAAAATTATGGAATGAACTTAAAGAAGTTGTTAAGAATGAATGTGAAAAGAGACTGCCCAAAATGAAGAAAGAGAAGAAAGCAAACTAGATATCACAACAAAGAAAAACCAAACCTAAGGGAGACAAAAATCTCAGGAATTTAACAAAGAGTTTCAGAGAACTATTAAAAGAGACAAGAAGCAGTATTTAAACAATGTTCATAAAGAGACTTAACAGAATGTGCAAACTATTGTACATACACACAGGAGTAAAATACTCCCAAATCTGTAATTGATTCAAGGTTTGGTTTTGTTTTTTTAAAAAAGGGAGACAAGAACGTAGAAGAAAAAGAAGAGGGAGCTGTATTTGCTTGAAGAAAAAAGATAAAAGGAATCCTCAGCTAACTGTTTGCTCTAAAGAATAGTGACACATGATATTATTGATTCATGCCTAAAAAAAAATCTGTTGTGACATCCATCATTTTATGTATTCTCACTTTATTAAGAGAGCAGAAAAAAAATTAACAATGATAGAAGAAACATTTCCATTCCATTCCACTCCACTTTCCCTGTAATTAGCTGAAATATAAGATTTTAAAGGAAAGTGTTCTAATTTTATGACAACACATAGCAAATAGTTATGAAATACAGAATTCCCAGCATTCACACCAAATTAGAATCATATGGTAGTTTTCTATGCTATAAAAATGAAATAATAACTGTTACCTTGCTTGAAGGACTGGTTTAATATCTTCCATCAGTTGAGTGCTATGTCCAAATTCATCCTGGAAATCTAGAGGAATACTGAATGGATGCCCTATCCGAAATGGAGGATCCAAATTACCTATTGTAAACTTCTGAGCTTTGCCTTCTGAAGAAACGAAAAGCAAAAGTCAACATCTTGGTGGAGAGTGGAATTTTTCAATCACACTGTTGATGGTTCTACTCACTTTTTGCTATATTCATCAGCTTTCAGTTATTAATTTTGTCATACATAAAATGAAAGAGAATTTCCCTGTTATCTGAATTAAAGGCTAACTTTATTTTATAAGGTAAAATTTTTGATGCATATCTGTAGAAATACTTTGTTTCCTTTATGTATAAGGCTTCAAATGAGGACAAAACATTGATCTGCACAGTGATTTTAAAAATAAATATATATATTTGAAATAAGATGCGTTCAGTACAATGAAAATTAGAGTAGAATTCTGCTATCAACAGAGTCAAATCTTCCATTCACTATATTAATGTACAGTTTAATGATATCCAGTTATTAATCACATTAAATGATCTCCCATGGGTCAACAGGTAATGATAGTTCCCTAATGATTTGGGCATATCTTACTTACAATATCATATCTCACTAATCTCAGTATACTTATCCTGGGTTAATATTAATACTGGGATAAGTGTAAAGATGAATTGTGATGAACAGTTTAGTTTAGTTTACTTTATTGTCATTGCACCTCGTACAATGAAATCGAACACCATCTTCAGTGTACATCAAGACCATGACCATGAAAATAAACACAAACACATCCTTCACCCTTCACCCATTGAAATGGAAACCCCCGACACCACACCAACACTGCACTATACAGCAGAATTCAAAAGAGCTACTGCCCTGGGATAGAAGCTGTTTTTCAGCCTATTTGTCCTTGTTTTTATTTTTCTGTACCGTCTGCCAGATGGTAATAGTTCAAAAAAAAGGGTTCCCAGGATGAGATGGATCTTTGAGAATGTTTTGAATTTTCTTAAGGCAGCGGGAGCTATAAAGTTCTTCCAAAGTGAAGAGAGGGCAACCAATGGTCTTCTGGGCCATGACATTAACCCTCTGGAGTGCTGTCCTATATGCCACTGTGTAGTTTGCAAGCCATACAGAGGTGTAGTATGTTAAAATGCTCTCTATGGTGCAGTGGTGGAAGGTCACAAGCAGTTTTTCATTCAGTTGTTGTTTTCTGAGAAGTCTCAGGTAATATAATCTCTTCTGGGCCCTTTTGACCAGGGCTGCAGTGTGGGTATCCCAGGTCAGGTCCTCTTTTAGGGTAACACCCAGAAACTTAAAACTGGCCACTTGCTCCACTCAGTCTCTATTGATAAGCAAGGGCTGGATGTCTGATCTGTTCCTTCTGTAATCCATTATAAGCTCCTTGGTCTTATTGGTGTTGAGGACCAAGTTATTGTCTCCACACCATGAAAGCAACCGGTCCATCAGAACTGTACCCAAGAGTTGGCGGGGGGGCAATAATATTTTGGCATAGTGCTATGGATTTATTGTATTTCAGTGTCAACTTAATTGCCAAAATGTTTACAAAATTTATTTATTAAGAAAAACAAAAACAATATAATGGAATTAATTATTTATAATTTCTGATACTGCTCAGTTTTCTGCGGCTGCATTAAGATAATTCTCCAAATAATACAATAGAGAGGCTCAAAGCTCACCTTACCCTTCAATGTTTGTGATTTTGGTTCACCAAGTATCATGGTTTTGTTAAATAAAATTTACTCAGGTTAAATAGCCTATGGTATTTTAAGGAATAGCAGTAACACATGGTACATGAAATGCATAGTTGTAACAGTTGTTTAATGCAAGCTATATGTAAAGACAAATTCTACAGTATATACTGATAGAATATTTAGCAACGTTTATTTTCTTCTGTTTTACAGAACAGAAATAGACTGTCAAGAGTAAAACATGGAGTTACTTTCACAATTCAACATCTTTAAATTGCAGCTTTTTTCTCCCTGGGATGAACTGAGATAAACAAAAATATGATAATACTATATATTTATTTTAGCGAAATTGTGTTTCACTTTTAAAATTAATAGTTCAAATGAAAAACAATACTATTTATATAATTATGCATATTCCCAAAAAGAACAAATCAATGCTAAAAACATTCAGTTGATCAGTTTTTCAAGTATTAATCATACTTTTAATATACATTCCTAATATTTCTATGTTGGTTTTTCTTTGGAAGCCACTCTTCTTACATACAGTAAAATGAAAGCTAAATGTTTTTTCCTCCACTGACTGGAAGAATTATTATTTGGAGAACTGCCCAAATACTTAGCTCATTTATATTTTAGTAACATTTTCAAGAATGCTTTCAATGTATTACCAATAGTCTTTGCTTACAGCAGACTTCAGTAGAACTACTTACAATCTATTTTCGACACAGGCAGATGATAGCATTTTGGAAGCTTGTCAACTGGCTTGCAGTTATGACCATTTGCAGTGTCCTGTGGTTACATGACTGCAATTTTCAGCAATTTTTTTTTGCCAGTTTTCAGCATTTACTTACTGTTTCTGGCAAAAAATGCCCATTGCATATAATGGATTTCTTTTAATGACCATATCGTTTCATTGATGACAGGCATAAAATCAGGCATGGTCAGGTGCTGAACCATTTAACAATTGTCACAACTTACAACCTTAATTCTGGACTCAATTATGGTTGTAAGTTGAGGATTACCTACTGTACATCTCATTGCATAAAAATATGAAATCTGTTACATGTGAATAGAAAAAGTGAAAACAGAGAACATCAATTAAACTTGATTAAACCAAGGACCCCTCATTCCTGAGCTATAAATGTTTGTCTTTATTAGTAAAAACTATGAAGGGTCCTTGGTACTCTCTGAGCTTGTTTTCTTGCAGACGTTTCATTACCCAAACTAGGTAACATCATCAGTGCTAGTAAAGAGTGCAATTTGCTATCAGTTTATTCTAGAATATAATTCATAAAACGTTCTAGAATATAAACTGTCAGCAAACTGCACTCTTTTCTAGTACAGATGATGTTATCTAGTTTGGGTAATGAAATGTCTGCAAGAAAACAAGCAAGCTCAGAGAGCACCAAGGACCCTTTATTCCTAAGCTATAAATATTTGCCTTTATTGGTAAAAACTTACCTATTACACGAAATTTAAATGTTTTAGATGGAAGAGGGATTTCTGCACGAGTGTCTGGATTACTTTCATTCAACACCACTTGCAAATTTAGCGTGTAGTTTCCCAGGTCAACAATATTTTCTGTGTATAATCAGACATAAATGTTAAATTTAAGATATCAAATATTATTCAACTGTAGGGTATACAAAAACAACACTACTTACCCATTTTTTTGAACCAGTAACCCCAGTTTTGTGTATGTTGACTGGTATGAGAAATGAGTTCCTTCTTTTGACCAGAAGCTTACAGAAAAACAAAGACATTATTATACTATAAATCAATCTGTTATTAATTCTAATCCATTTGGAAAATTTTTGAAGATAGGTAGATAAATAGATACACATACACACAAACACACACTGTATATGTGTATGTACGTACCCATTTCCCCGAAAATAAGACCTGGTCTTATAATTTTGGGGGCTCCAAAATAAGCACAGGGGCTTATTTTTTAGGAAACATGACTACAGCCCGGCTCAGTACCCCATCCCCCAGCCCATGCACAAGAGGCGGAAAGTGTGCATCTTATTTTGGGGGAAATAGGGTATGTATGTAAATATGTAGAAATAGATGGACAGACAGATAAATAGATTTGGGTTGTTGGTTTTATTTCAGCTTATCTTTAATAAGCTGAAATAAAACCAATTCAAACATTTAACAATGGAAAATCTATTTTCATTTAAGAACTAAAATAACAAATTTGTTCTTAAAGTGCATTAAAAAGTAGCAATTACTACAGGAAAGAGGCGAATCACTTTGTTCTGTGTTAGAAAAAATGGAAATGGCGACTGAAGAACAAGAAGAAGCAGCTTTGGAGGAGGAGAGTCGACTCAAGGAAAAGACATTTTAAATAGACAATTAACACAAAGAACGCTACAAAGAAGCGGGGAAAAGAAGGAAGGTTAAAAGATGAGATAATAGAAGGCAATCAAAAGGGGGAATACCTGTGAAGTCAGGAAAGGCAGAAAGATCCAGCAGAAAAGGGGAAAGGAAGATATTAAGAAAGGGAGGGATATAAACTGGAATGAGAAAAGATATGGGGAAAAGAGGGGGAGGAGAAGCAGTAAGAAACAGGTGCATGAAATAAAGAAATACGGAAATAGTAAAATGTTGAAAAAAAATTGTTTTTTCAGAGATAATGGTTGATGAATTAAAAAGGGGATTCTGCAGGGTGACAAGGGGTAATAAGAATATTTCTGCAATTAAAAATATTTAGAAAATAGGTATAGATACTGATAACTCTTATTAAAAATGAAGGGGGAAAATATGCTGTGGAATCCAAGTGAAAGATGTAATGATTATTATTGTAACTTCTTAAAAATAATGGTTTACTGGGAATCAAGATGAGGGATAAAGGTATATTTTAATCATTGAGGTGTCACACTCAAAACAGTAAAAGGGGGGAAACCTAGACTTGTTTTTTTTTTAATGTTAAAATTTGCATTAATCTAGAATTTATAAAAAGAATGTGTAATGGAAAGGGAATATGACACACTAAAGAACCAACTAAATTAATAAGTTAATATAGACTATTAAAAGCGAGGAGAGACATTGGTAACCTTTTTATTATTATTATCATTATTATCCAAACACATATTGTTTATCTTTATTTTTAAAATAAATATTAAAGGATTATATTTGAAATAATTGAAATGAAACAAAAAGATGTTTCAATTGAAATTAATGAAATGGGCTAGAATTAATGTGTTTGTTTCTCTTCTTACTGAAAATTTGGAATGGAAAAGGTAATAATAGAATTAAGTGTATAATATATCAATGTATAATTGCTGTCATATTTGTATGTAAAGGTGATGACCCAGAAACATGTTGTCCACTAAAAAGAGATTTTTGTTCTTATTGTGAAAAACTGAATAAAATTTGTTAAAAAAAAAAAAGAAATTTTGGGCTCAATTGTGGCTGCAAGTTAAGGACTACCTCTATTTGTATATTATATCGGCATGTTGTTCATTATATTAAAATTCTAAAACAGGGGTGTCCAACCTTTCACCTTCCCTGGGCCACATTAGAAGATGAAAATTTGGCTTGGGCCGCACATAAAATAAAATAACAGTAACGATACCTGATCATCCCCAAAAAACATAGAAAACATAGTTAACATATTAAAGTTATTTGGAAATGAAGTTAGTGAGATGTTTTTATTATGTATTATTTATTATTTATTAAAAATTATTTATTTTTTATCACGGTTTTTTTATCACAGTTTATTTTCCGGCCAAATTTTGCGGGGGGGGGGGGAGAAAGCTCACCCTCCTCACGCCTACCTCTCCTCCTGCAAATGGCCCAGCTGGATGAGGCAGGACTGGAAAGCAGAAGCAGCAGCGGCGGGGGCAGAAGCCTTCCCCCACCACCACTGCTGCTTCTGCCCCCGCCGCCGCCGCTTCTTCCCCCTCCACCACTTCTTCCCCCACCACTGCTGCTGCTTCTGCCCCCGCCGCCACTTCTGCCCCCGCCGCCACCCCCGCTTCTTCCCCCACCACCGCCGCTGCTTCTGCCCCCGCTGCGGGGGCAGCGGCGGTGGGGGCAGAAGTGGCGGTGGTGGGGGGGAAGAAGCGGCCGGGGCAGCAGCGGCAGCGACTGCGGGGGCAGAAGCAGCAGCAGTGGCGGGGGAAGAAGCGGCAGTGGCGGCGGCAGGGGCAGAAGTGGCGGCGGGGGGCAGAAGCGGCAGCGGTGGAAGAAGCGGCGGCAGTGCCACCAGCAGCAACAGCAGGAGGTGGCGCTCTGACGGTGCCCGCCTTTTCTCTTGCTGCTTGGCCTGGCGCTCGCCCTGCCTCGCGCCTGCCTCTCCTCTTCCTCGCTGGCTCTGGCACAAAGGTTGGGGTGGGCACTGGGCCGCATTACGAGGCGACCTGGGCCGCGGGTTGGACAAGCCTGTTCTAAAACATATTATCCAATAAAGGATAATTTCCTCCTCCTTTATTATTTATTTATTCTATTTATATGGCCACCCACAAGTGATTCTGGGCAAGGTTTTTCTACACCTCCCAGAGTTGGGCTGCCACATACATGCCTACTTAAATAAATAATCAAAATTCAAGATGTTTTGCCTATGTGGTTTACTGTCGTAGAAGAAAGAGTGGCCACAATTTCAGTATCTTACTTTAATATATACTAATACATTAATAATATTGTATTATTATCATTAATAATGTAGGAAAAATACAACTTGCATGCTTACAGTGCAAAACAACCTTAAGTTGTACAAGTAATTTCTTTGATCCTCCTGGAAGAGTTTGGATAGGCTTGCCTTTTTTATTCAGTATTTCAATTTGTAGATCTCCTAAGGGGAAAAAACAGAACAACCAACAAACATGAAAAACAAATAAATTGAATCAGAATTTAAATTACTATCTGAAATAATAATCAATCCACATACTTATGAGAAATAGGTTGAAATAAGCTATCTCTGAAGTTAATACTAACCTATTGTAAATCCTGCACACTTAACGTCACCTGAAAGTAATTCATTTCCTTTAGGCCATGTTACTGACAGACTATCAGGAAATCTAGTAAGAAAAGAAGTGTTAAGTGACCACTTTGGTGAAATAATTATTTATATAAATTGCATACATAAATAAACAAACCAAGTAAAACACTGATGAATTAAATTATCAAGACAATAAAAATGCATCTAATTACTTAGGCAATTTTCTTCTTTAAAAAATCCCAACAATATAGTAATTTGTTTAGCCACTGCAGGATATAGCAATGTGTAAATTAACTCTAGCTTAACTCAAATAGACTAAAGTGAGAAGGATTGGATGAGAAGGCCTCGGGAAAAATCTCAGGGTTAGAGGTAAGACTGGGAAGTTGGGAAAAAAAATCTTAAGAGGCAATGGTAAGCTACTTATCTTTTATTGTCAAATAATGCTAATAGCCATCTTTGTACAATCACAAGGAATTGAGTTTGACTCAAAGGAGTCTTTAGTTTAGTCTTTATATGTATTAATTAATTATTAATATTAACCTACTACCAATTGTACAAAATACGTAATCTTAGCAAGAATTATTTACCAAAATTCAAGAAAAGTCATGTAAAATGGTGCTTGCTTCAAGAAATAAAATGTGCACTACATGGGAGAAAATATGTTCTCCCCTCAAAAGTATTATTTCAGATATCATCAAACTGTGCAGCTTAAGTCAATTAATTTTAATGGAACAATTTTTAATGTAATGTTTAATTGGGTGACAGGCTAATATTTTTATTTGTGTTTACTTTTTATTTCTAAATTGATAAAATAATTTATTAGCTAAACAAACTTACCGAGTCTTTTCCTCTTCAATGTGTTTTTCCAGTTTTGCTTCAGACACCGAACGATCAAGTTTGCATATTGGAGTGATCTTTGTTTCATTGTATAATGCTCGAGGCTCCTGAAAATTATATTTATATGGAACCTATATCTACATATATTTATGTATATCTATTCTTATGAATATTTTGAAATTTGAATATATTTAAAATAATGGTATATATATAAAACTTTATATAAACATATATATGCAGGTCTTGGTGTGTTCGGGTCTTTTCCCGTGTAAGATTGAGAATATCTTGGCGACGTTTCGACGAGGTCCCACTTGCCATCTTCAGGCTGGTGCTTTCGGCTTCGTGCTTGTGCGAGCAAAGCATGACCTGAGCTGCTGTCTCTCTATAAATACTGGTGGGGAGGTTGGCTGTGTTGTCATTTCTTGATTTTATGGGCTGTGTGATGACGTTCTGAATTCTATTGTTGTGACATTCAATAGAACTAAGAAGGTCATCACACAGCCCATTACCCAAGTCATTACAAACCAGGAGATTACAGCACAAGACCCAGGATGTCAAAACAATAGAACTCAGAACGCCATCACACAGCCCATTACCCAGGTTGTTACAACACAGGAGGCTGATAGACACACAGCCAATACCATAGCCACACATGTTCTTAAGAAAAAGCCAGCCAATCTGCAAGCATCAACTCCATCAACTAATCAAGAAATGACAACACAGCCAACGTCCCCACCAGTATTTACAGAGAGGCGGCAGCTCAGATCACGCTTTGCTTGCACAAGCATGAAGCTGAAAACACCAGCCTGAAGATGGCGAGTGGGACCTCGTTGAAACGTCGCCAAGACACTCTCAATCTTACACGGGAAAAGACCCGAACACACCAAGACCTGCATACCTGTACCCGTGTATATAAAGTTATATACACATACATACACATATTCCCTTGTAATTAAGACCACAAAAAGAATTATCCAGAATTATTATGAAAAACTATATAATAAAGAGAAGGTATCAGAAGAAAAAAATAAAACAATACTTGGAGAAAGCTAAATTACCTAAAGTACCTGAAACAGTGAAGATGAATGAAAAGATAACGATGATGGAACTAACGGAGGTGATCAAGACACACAAAAATAATAATAAAACACCTGGACCAGATGGACTACCGGCCGAACTTTATGTCTACAAGATACTTTAGGTTTGCCGATGCTGGAAGTTTATAATGAAGTACTGTTAGAGGCCAAAATACCAAATACATGGATGGAAGCAAATATAACTTTAATACTGAAAGAAGAATCAGATTTAATGCAGATAAAAAATTACAGGCCAATATTGCTACTCAATGCAGATGACAAAATTTATGCTTCAATAATTGCAGAGAGTTTAAAAAGATTCTTGAATGAATTTATACACTCAGACCAAAATGGATTTTTACCTAAAAGGCAAATTAGGAATAATGTGAGAATTATTTTGAACATGTTGGAGTATTATGAAATGCATCCTGAAAAACAAGTGGCATTGATATTCTTAGATACACAGAAAACGTTTGATAATGTAAATTGGCAATGTATGTTATTACAATTAAATATGTGGACTTTGGGGAGAAATTTATTAATGTGATTGAGGCAATATACTCCAAACTGCAAAAGTGATAGTTAATGGGGATGTGACAGAGAATTTTAACATAAGGCATGAGACAAGGATGTCTGCTGTCCTCCCTACTATTTATATTAACGCTGGAAGTATTAAACAAAAATATTAGACAAGACTCAGAAATAAAAAGAATGGAAATAAAAACAGAAGAGTATAAGCTAAAGGCATTTGCAGATGACTTGATATTTATTTTAGAAGAACCACAAAAATCTGGATCCAAGTTAATAAAAATGATAGCAGAGTATGGTGAAGTTGCAGGACTGAAAATGAATAAAGAGAAAACTAAAATACTAGTTAAGAATGATAGAGAAACAAACAAGCAAAAAAAAAAAGAGTTGATGGAAAATCCAACTAACAGCAAGATGCGCAACTATTCAAGAAGATAACTATATGAAACTGTTACAACAAATCAAATTAGATTTGGAGAAATTGAAAAACCTGTAGTTGATAGGAAGGATAGCCACAATAAAAACGAATATCTTGCTGAGATTATTACTCTTATTTCAAACAATCCTGATAAAATTAGAAAAACAATTCTTTGAAGAACTAAATAAAATGATATTAAAATATATCCGGAAAGAGAAAAAAGCAAGAATAAGATTGCAACTGCTTCAAGATACTAAACTTAAAGGGGGCTTTGGGTTGCTAGTTTGGGAGCTATATTACCAGGCCTCTGCACATTTCTGGGTGAAAGAAATGGGTAAATCTGAGACATAAAAGACTATTAACTTTGGAGGAACATAACATCCAACTGGGGTGGCATGCTTTTCTATGGCATGGGAAGAATTAAATACATGTATATTTTCAAAGACACTTGTTAGAAATGCACTATTGTCAGCATGGAGGAAAATTAAAGAATGACATTATATGAAAATACCAGTCTGGGTCTCCATGATGGAGGCACTGATACATCCGAATATGATTAATATGGAAAAAATTGTAAGGTATAAGACATCTTCAATGATAAAGGGAACTTAAATCTAAACAAGAACTGACTAATCAAGGGATTGATTTAGCAAGGTGGCCAAATGTACAAATACAATCAAAATGTGAGAAAGATGCAAGAATGTATGGTTTCTATAAAGAACCAACAGAACTAGACCAGATATTGCTAGGGACAGATGAAAAATTAATTTTAAAAAATATAGATGCTTACTGACTATTAAAATGGAACAAGAGCAAGTGAAAGAAACAATGATAAGGTGGGCTAAAAACTTTGGTTATGCAATAGAATTAGATAAATGGCAGAAATTGTGTGATAGAAATTGTAAACTAACAATGTCAAAAGCCTATAAGGAAAATTTATACAAAATATTTTATAGGTGACTTTTGCCACCAAAGAGGTTGGCAAAGATGTTTGAAAATCTATCAGCTAAATGTTGGAATTTTAATCAGATACCAGATTCATATTATTATATGTGGTGGACATGTCCGAAGGCAAAAAAATATTGGACTAAATACGTACTTGGTTAGAAAAAATGATAAAGCAACATATAGATTTGAAACCAGAAATATTCCTGCTGGGTATACCACCAGAATAATATAATAAAGGGAATACATATTTAGTTTTGCAGTACCAGCAACAAGAATAGTGTTTGCATAACAATAGAAAAATGATGAGATCCTGACAGGTGAAAGCATAATAAAAAAAATATTACTGCAGAATGTGCTGAGATGGATAGATTGACACTTAAGATAAAAGAAAAGGAAGAAACAGAATATTTTTTAACATGGGATTTATTTTTCCAATGGTTAATTAACAGAAACAGAAGTTACAAACTAAACAGAATTTAGAAAGATAGTAAGAATTTGTATTGAAAATTTTGCAAGATGGATAAACTAATTGTATTACTATGCTGTGATTAATATTTATATGTTTATTAAGATTACCAGTATTACTTTGGTTATTGTATCTTTACTTAAAATTAATTGTGCCCAGACAACACACTGCTCAAACAAACATGGAATTTTTATCTTTTTTAAAAGAAAAATGTACCAATAAAACATATATTCAAAAAAACCAAAAACCCCACAATATCAAATACAGCTTAATTTTTAAAATTCTGGTTTATAATCATTTGTAGTAAAAATTATATTCTAAGTCAATTTATTAATGTATTTTCTAATAAATATTTACAGATTAAGAAATTAAGTATTAACTGGTGAGGCATTTTAAAGTACTTCTTTCATTTCACTTACAGCTTGTTTATTATTACTATTTTAATATTGTCTTTTTAAGAATTGACTAAAATAATAAGCAATAAAAAAGCAAAATATTTCTAATGACAAGCACCAAGCACTATTTTGCTCTTAAGTAACATTTTTCTCTTACAGAATAGTTGATCAGTTTTTAAGAAGCTGCTTGTTACCATAGGTATGTAAAGATCAAATATTTTTGAGAAATATTTTGTGAACATTTAATCTACAAACCCTCCTCTCTTCCTTATATTTTTTCAAGTATCTTTTCAAAAGTATTGTTTTCTGAAAAGACTTTGGATCAAGACCTGGCACCAATCTTATTGTAACTAATTCATTATTACATAACACTACTGAATTAAATATTTCCTTGTTTACCGTTTCTTCCACCTGCACTTTCTTCTGTATAGATAGTCCTCAACTTTGATCACAGTTGAGCCCAGAATTAGGGTCATAAGTTGTTGCGGTCATAAGTCGAGGCCCCTACATGACCAGAAGTAATTTTCCAGCCTTTTAATTGCAGTGCTCACATGACTATGAGATACTGCTATAGTTGTATACACTAGCTGGATGCCAAGTGCCTGAATTTTAATCACATGACCACAGAGTGCTCTCACAATTGTAAGTATGCTGCCTCAGTTGTAAGTATGAAGACAGTTGTCAAGGTACTTTTTTAGTGCTGTCCTAATCTCGAGTGATTATTAAATAAGGCAGTTGGTAAGATAAGCAAAGGCTATCTGTAATTTTGACATTCAATACTTGCACCATGCAACTCCATTTTGATTCTGGTGTAGTTTACTATGAAAAGCTGTGGCATTTTAGAATTGGAGTAGATAAATATTTGGTGAATAAGGCTATTGATTCACAGTGGCTAAGTCTTCATAACAGATAAATTTATTTCTTAATATAGTTGCTTGGAAGTGGATAAGTGGAAATCCATGGGAATAGAATGTTGGCTTACATAACACGATTCAGTACATTTCTTATGTTACATATTTTTTCTATTCAGGCTTGAATCAAAGATATAAACGGATTAATTAAAAATTTGAAACTATTTACTTACCAAAGTTATATGAACATCTCCACCAAGACCATAGACAATTCCATCATGTTTTCCAGGTAAAGAAAAATATTGTATGCTGCCATAAAGTGAAGGTTTTTTATTTGATCGTACCGTTTTTACCTAACACATAAACAGCAGTTATTTTTTTACATAAAGATTTAACTTAATCTAAAAATAATTTCTATGTGGTTATAATTTGTAAAATATCTAACATTTTATCATAAATGTAAATAACGAATAAAAAGATTCATCACTATAGTTCTATTATAGCTTTTCAGAAACAATTTTTGACAAAATATTTTCTAATGCAGTTCCTAAGGTCTCCTCTTGGGCGATAATACAAAGCACTGTTTTCTAGGGAGCAACTAGCTTCAATAATAGGGAGTTATACAGTAATTAATTTCTTTGTTTATTCTTTTGTAATGATTAGAATTGATTGTTTCTAAAAAAAAATCAATTTAAAATTATTTTAAGATTTTCTTTCCAGGATTTAAAAGTTTGTGATTTTAAACTTTTAAAACTTTTTTGTAATTTTTTTTAAAGTTTTCTGCACATATATGACTAAAAACATGACCTGTTCTCTACACAAATCCTAAAATCAAATAAAAAGAACTCAGTTGAACAAATGAAACTGAAACAAAAGTTTTGGTTTTAGTACACTTTTAATAATATTTTAATATTTATAGTTTAAAAAAATTTAACTTTTTAAAATTATTATATTAATTATTTTTATTTTATTATATTAAGCCACCCACAGTCAACTTGCAGGGGAGATTTGCAGCATGAAAAAATTAATAATCAAATACAATGAATTAAAAATATTACACTTAAATTGGTAAGTATAGGGCCAACCTCTAGCAATTTTTTTTAGAAGTCTTCCAAGATACCCATGGCAATTTCCAAACTATATATTATAGAAATAGCTACATTGGAACAAATATGCACTTACAAGGATAGCTACTGGGCAATATGCTGGGGAACAAGGTAGAAAGCCAGGCAAATATAATCAGTAACCTCATTATCATGCCTTGAATAAATAGGCGGTTTACATCCACTGTTAAAGCTATTTTATGAATATATAAATGTTGTAATGGCAACAATTTTTTAAAAGCACCAATGATATACTCTCAAAAATCTTACTGATTTTTCCACTAGCTGAAAAAGGAAGCATTATTTCTACCAAACATTATTTCTATGCATGTAGCAAACTTTATCAATTTGAGAAATGATTTAACTAGCGTATTTAATCAACGAAGAGAATATAATTTAATTATATTAGATTGTGTAGTATTCATAGCCCATCAAATATACATTATGCAATCTTTTCAAAAGTAATTAACTTACCAACTGCCCTTTTTTATATATTTTTCCATCCCATTCAATTGCGAAATATTTAGTCCAAAGTGCCGTTGTTCTTTTAGAATCCTTAAAAGTACGTATAAATGTTCCATCAACCTCAAAAAATTTGATTTCTTTATCATACTTTTCATGGCAATTCTTGAGCCATGATGCAAATTGCTTATCATTCATTCTGTATTCCTGTGGAAAGTTGTGTATATATACATATATATATATGTAACATGTATAATTTTTTTCAATTATTGAATGGTTATTGTTGAACAAAGCTTACTCTTCTTGCATTATTCAGAATTGCAGCTTAAATGTAAATAGTTAATAATTTATATCTTTCCCAATGTGTACCTTAAAAGTGATACTTATAATTCTAATCCTATTTTTAAAAGATGGTCAGGACAATAAAATTAAAGAGACAGTGGCATGTTCATTGTCTCTGATTAGGAATTTTGATTTATATTTCCTTGTATCCATACAGGTAGACCTCAACATATGGTAATTTCTTTAGAGACCATTCAGTTACAACAGCACTGAAAAAAGTGACTTATGACTGTTTTTCACACTTGACTATTTGCAGCACCCCCTTTGGTCACATGATGCTTGGTAACTGACTTATATTTATGACGGTTGCAGTGTCCCAGGGATTTGTGATAATCTTTTGCTATCTTCAGACAAGCAAAGTCAATGGGAGAGTCAAATTCATTTTACAACCATAATATTAATAGTTTTGTGTCAAGAATGAGGATAAGTTGATGTATCACTTCCACTATAGTTATAATAATGCTAGGGACCAACAAAAGGTACTTTACCAAGGTCCTCTCAAATCTCAGACTGCCCCCCAAAATGCAATAGATTATATTTTCTTACTATGTAAAAGCACAAACCACAATAAAATTTACAAGATCTAATTATTTGCTAAAGGCGTATACACAGTATTAGAAAACAAATAGATTCAATATCACCTTTCCATTAATCACTTGTGTAAAAACTGTATTTTTATCTTTCAACTTGGATTCCAGATTTATGAAACTCAGTTTGTTCGTGGTGACTTCAAAGCTGCCATCTGTAAATAATACTCCAGATATTCGGTTGTAACATTCAATTGGAACGGACCCTCTCTTTTTGGGCAAAGCACACCATTCAAAGCTTGGGAAAAAAAGATAACATTTAGAAACATAGAAAGAAAAAATATGTATGTATATGTATAAACTTTAGAACTAATTCAATCTTACTCTGCTACAGTTGTATATGGGATTAATCTTCCATTCCAAAAACATTCAAAAATAGCGTTTTCCCCTCTGGCTCTTTTTTCTATTCTACAACATTCCTCTTCTTCATCTTCATCTTCATCTTCATCTTCATCATCTTCATCTGTCAGTTATAAATTTAAAAGTTATTTTCATATCATTGTATGTAGAAATGCAAAACAGAATAGTTTTCCAAATTCTGGAAAAGAAACGCAAACAAGATGCCTACTTAAAATTCTTCTTCAAAAATTGATAATAAAATTGATTTCTAATACAATCAAATGAGAAGTTTACGTATAAGGAGAGTATTGTATAACTGTGCTCAGTTCCTATAATTAAACTGTATATTAGCCAACATTTTGGCTTGAAAAAGCTGGGTACTGTTGCTTTAGAGGCCAATGTATTATCAAGCACGTACTGTACAGCCACCAATAGTTGTGGCTGGCTGCTAAAAACTGCCAAGCTTTCAGGGTCTAAACAAGAAGCACAACCAGATAACTAAGCTTACTTTATTATAAGGTTACATTAACAGAATTTGGCAGACTGAAATTATTTCCCTCCTGGTTTCTTTTTAGTCTCTGGAAAATGTGAAGGATTCCTTCTGAAATGCTTTGCATGCACCTGTGGAATGAACTGCTTTATCAGACCATTATCCTGGCTGCGAGTGTGCTTCCTCATTCTCACATGCCATCACGCTTACTATCACTGGAGTCTTTTTTCTTATTTTTCTTTAAACTTGCAATTTCTCTGGCCAAGAGATCTCTCTAAGAAGTTTGTTACTATCATCAAATTCTTTCTTGATCTGGAAATTTCTCCCCATTCCCTGCTTCTTCACCTACCTGCCCATTCCTTGTTTGAATTCTTAGATTGAAGGTGTATTTATTATATTTAAAGGACAGAAAAATATCTAGACCTAACTAAACTGAGAATGGATGAGCTAGCAGATGAATCACAATCCGTTCTATAAAATTGGTTTGAAATGTAGCTTATTAATCAATGATTCATGGAAAGTTACATAAATAATTTTAATTGTCACCAAACACATAAAAACAATCCTATGTCCCCAACTCCCTATGTATTTATTTATTAAATTTATTTATCACTCATCTTGCTGTCATGAGACTTTGTCATGGGAAACTTACAATCTGACAAAACAATTAAAACTAACTTTAGCTAATTAAATGATAAAAATAATAAGACAATACATTAAAATAACAAAGAAATAGCTAAGATAGTGGCAGGTATGCAATAGAGTGGAGATCAGTGGATTATAGAAGTTAGGATAGCACAATGTATTTTTAATATAGCTCCAATATACCAAAAATTGGTATTCAGAAACTAGCTGTCCTTCAATATAGGCATTTTACAATGCCCTCTAATGCTAGGTAGTGTAATATTTAAAATCATGGGAACATGATCAAATTTATCATATTTGTATGTGAATGATAAATAGCATTTATCCCAAGCAATTACTCACTTGAAAAGGTAGGATAGGTTTCTTTGTCACATAAGAAAGGATGGTAACGTATAATTCCTTCCACTATTCCATTTCCTTCAACAGAAGCTTTGAACTCAAAGCTTTCTGCTGCTGTATTTATATATAACGTCTGCATATCCTTGATTTCTCTAAGATTCACAATCCGAGGTCTCTTCCCCTTTTCAAACAGTGAAACCTAAACAGATAATGAGTGTTAGTTTGTCATTCTATGAATTTTTTGACAAAAGGTGTCATGAATAACAAAACCCAAGGAAGATTAAATTAAATGGCTCAATTTACTTAAAATTTGAATTTTATAACCAATAGTTCAAAGAACTGATAACTCATATACCGTATTTTTCGGTGTATAAGATGGACTCCCCCCCCAAAAAAAAGTGGGTGGAAATGTCTGTGCATCTTATGCAGTGAATGTTGACAAATCCCCGCCCACCTGCCCCCACCCTTTGGCCTCTGCCTCCCAGCAATTGGCCTCTTTGCAGCAAACAGCAAACAGCACAGCCTGATTTAGCATGAGCAGCTGATTGGATCGGCCTCCTGGCTGTTTCAGGCTGCAGGAATGGCCATAGCCTATCGCTGTGTCCTTGCGCCACATTTTCGGCTTTCGCATCCCATTTTTGGCCTCCCAAGCCCTGTTTTGGGTCTTTGCGCATGCCCCATTTTCAGCCCGTTCTGATCAGTGCCACCTGGAATGGGCTGAAAACAGGGTGCACAGAGGCCGAAAATGGGATGTGGAGGCTGAAAATGGTCTTCAGTTTTCTGGGAGGCCGATCCAACCAATCAGCTGCTCATGCTATATCAGGCTGTGCTGAAGCTTACCAGGCTGTTGCTGTTTGCTGCAAGAAGGCAAATTGCTGGGAGGCAGAGGCAGATTTTTTTTTATTGTTTTCCTCCTCTAAAGCTTATAGTCTGGAGCATCTTGTAGTCCAAAAAATATGGTAAATATGATGATATTAATGAACTGAATCCAAACACGGCACTTACTGAAACACGAGAGTACTACAGGTACAGGTAGTGCTCAACTTACAACCACAATTGGGAATGGAGCTTCTGTTATTAAGTGATGCAGGGGTGGGATTCTACTGGTTCTGTCTGGTTCTATAGAACCCCTTGTTAACTTTCTAAGCAGTTTGGAGAACCGGAAGTTAGAATCAATCTCCTTTTGTTTTTTTTCCACCCTTATTACATTCTTGCCAGTACACCTAGACTTCCTGTCTGCGGAGCTTCTGAGGCTTGACTTTCTTAAAGGGGAAAGTTTGTTTTAAGATTTTTACACTGCTGTTGGGAGGAAATACTTCCCTGGACAATCAGCACTTTGAAGAAATAATTGAGTAATAATGAGAGCTTAAATAACCTCTCTGCTAAAAAGTTTCACTTTATGAGCAAGTGATGGCTGCTTGATAGTTAACACTGTATTTTAACTATTTTCATTTCTCAAGGCGCTCTGGCACCCTGCCTGATTTGTAATTTTGGCTTGCAGGTATTTTTAATCTAATGATTAGTATTTAGGGCAGCTTTTTGCAAGCAAAGAAGCTTTTTGTATTTTTGTACAGGTAATCCTTGATTTACAACAGTTCGTTAAGTGACCATTCAAAGTTACAATGGCACTGAAAAATTGACTTATGACCATTTTTCACACTTATGACCGTTGCAGCATCCCCACTGTCATGAGAGGCCAGGCGAGGAGAAGCGCCCCTTGACATGAGTGATGTCGAGTTGGCCACACCCAACCAGCCACATGACCACGAACTAAGCCACGCCCACAGAACCGGTTGTTAAAAAAACTGAATTCCACCCATGAAGTGATCCGGTCAGAGAGTGGCGCCCAATTTTATTATTGCTATTTGCTAAGACAATCCAGTTTTTTCTTTGTTTGCTGGAAGCCCCTTGAAAACATCATAAATGGTGAGTACACACCCTAGGACACTGTAACTTTTAAAAATACCTGCTAGTTGCCAAGTGCCAGAATTCTGATCATGGTTGTTAATAGTTAAGTCACTTTTTTCAGTGCCATAACTTTGGTCATTAAATGAATGATCATAAATCGAGAACTTTATATACAATGTTTTCTATCTCTCTTTTCTATCATGACCAGTAAAACATAGTTCATATTTTTTTTAACTGCATTTATTTGGCATCCATTAACCAAAATTCTCAGACCTGGTTACAATAAAAAGAAAATATATTCTAATCATTAATTATTACAATAGGATCCTAAATCAGTGGAGAGATTTTGGAGGGATATATTGGTGACTAGACTATGGAAGAAAAGGATGAAAATGCTCCATTCATCATTAATATTGCTTAAGGTTATATAGAACTAGTAGAACAAGTATATTTCATTGATTTACTTCCAATATCGAGAGATCCTACCTCAATAATTATATTATTGAAAACCTGTTCTTCGTTTTTTGGCAAATCAGTCATGTTTCCTTTTGGTCCATGGATATAGTAATGATATATTTTTCTGTAATCATAAAATTCATTAACCAAACTGTAAATAAATAAACACTGCAGGACTTTTTAACAGGCCACTGAATACTTTAAAGATATAAAACAAAATACAACTTGTATATAGAAGCCAGAAGGATTATATATAAATTCAAGGTTTAATAAAAATATTCCCACTCCATACATGTCAACTGAAAGCAGAACAAAAATAGAATAAAACAAAAACCTTTAGTCTATTATTTAATATTCTAAAATACTATATACTATATAATGCTGTTTCTAGGTTTAAAAGTAGAGGAGTAAATTCTAAGTATGATAAGATATGAGTTACTCATATTACTCAATTACCTGAAAGCTTAGAGACATAAGATACTTACTTTAACTCTCTAATCCAATGGTGAAAATTATCTTTCAAGTATTTTACATGGTCAGGCCGTATTCCAGTAATGACAACAGCAGTAAAACTATCTCTGCCTTCCTCTTCCTTAATAAGCGTGTGCAGAAATCGCTCATCAACATTAACAATGTGGGAAGAATCATATGGCTATTGGAATTTTTTTTTAAAAAAGACATTAAATTAGACAAAGAATGATATTGATTAGTTTTCACTCATTTTGAAATCAGGAAAATGAAAGTTATGGTTTTATAAAATACTTTTGTTTCCTAAATTCTTGAAGGTTGTAAATGTGAAAGGACTGTTTCAAAGGTGGCAATAATCCAATGATTAAAATACTACTATTGTCTTACCTTTCTATTTCTTATATGGCTAGTAAATACAGGTTCTTTGTTTTTTTCTTTCTCTTCAAAATCTTCTTTTGAAAGGACAAGTTCGTGAATATCTTGAAAACCTGCAGGTTTGCTTATCATCTAATAATTTTTAAAAAAATGAAGTTACTTTGGAAGCAATTCTAGCAGTCAACACTCAGATACAGGCAATTTACATCACCAAAACTGCACTGGATGAAGATTATGTACTTTCTCAAATATAACACTCAATGGAAAATAAACCTGGCTTTATAATTCTATTAAATATAAAAACTTAGCAAGGGAAAGACTTACTACCCTATACCTGCAACATAGTTTTCACACAAAGACTGCAGATGTTTTTTCAACACTGTAACTTGACACTGAAATCTTCTTTACCATCCCAAATACAGCTTGGCAAACTTGGTCTTCTACCACAAACAATTGGCCCATTCCCCATTTATTCACAATCTGTTCCTTTGAAGAAGGAATAGGTCAGCCTATTATTAATCCAGGTTAATTAAGCAATATTAAATTTACTTACTCTAACAGACTGTCCAATAAAAAACACAGCTTGTTTACCACCAACCCCAAAATACGATATATCACTGTTTAAGCTGCGAGATACAAATTGAGGCTGTACATATCCTGAATGATCACTGATCCAAAAAACAAATAGAAGAAAAAAATAGAAATTGTTAAGTGTACAGGTACAAAATGAAATTAAAAACAATAATCAATAATAATGCTTTGGGCTGGTTAAAAAGAGTTATATATACATTTTGTGAAATACCTTTTGATATCTAATTATAAAATAATACATATACCATATATTTATAGAAATGTTCAGGAACACCACAGTACTTTATGGAAACTACAAATGGAGAAATACATTTCTTTTTTAGCCTAAGGAGACACACTGTTTATAGGCTCTGCCCAAAGCTGATAAAGGAAATGACTGATGATGTAATCGGAGTGAGCTGACAATTTTAGACTTTCTGTTTTGGGGACAGTTTATTGGCAAAATGGGTGCTTTAACATATTCATTTTGTCCCGTAACCTCTCATGAGAAAAAGTAACCAAATCTGATTTTGTTAGGGATAAAACTTAAATCACACATTTGTCCCTCAAAACTCTGCAACTCTTCACCTGAACAATGTCTGGGCAAAAAATGTTGGTCCTTCTCATTGGTGGAGCCCTATGGATCACTAATAGAGTGCCAGGGAACCATATGCAACTTGCATGCACTGATTGCCCATCTATGTCCTACAGCATTTTACAGGACTGAAACAACGAGAAATATGAAAATACAGTAGAACCTTGGATCACGACCATAATAGGTTCCAGGACTTTGGCAGCAACCCGATTTGGTCATGATCTGAAGCACAACCGTCTGCACATGTGCGGACAAACAAAAAACAAAACAACAAATGGTGCCGAAGGGGAAATCAGCGCAGAAAAGAAATCTTTCCGCACCGATTTTGTTCGCCACCAAATTTTTGAATCGTGACCCGATTCAAAAATCGGGTGGATTTTTGGGTTGTCATCCAATTTGGGTGCGAAGAGAAGTGTTCCAGACCCAAGATTCCACTGAATCTCTATATTTGCAAGTTAGGAGATGCCCAGAAATCAATGTGCAATTGATTAAAAGTAGAAGATAAACTCTGAAATATCAAAATGTATTTGAACTTTTATTTGTATTTCTGAGTATTTAGAAATAACAGAAAGAGCTGGATCACAGAAAAGAGTTAGTAGGCTTTGTTGCATTATGTTGTATAGAAGAGTGGAAGGACCAGGGGCAGAGTTAAAAGGGGAATCAACCTAGAATCCCTATGTACCCACAAGTGGACTAAGTCCAACTCCCTCCCTTGAATTCTGTAGACCCTTATCTAATTCATTACCTGAGAAGATACCTGCACATAGGCTGTGTAGCAATAAATCAGTTTAATTTGATCATGAGTACCTGGTTATTTGCACCTGATATTCTGAGACCATACCTGAACTAAAAATTAAACTAATGCACAATTAGCTGGGATATATTTCATGGATATTTATTTTTTATGTTATTTATTAAATTTGGTTGCTGCCCATCCCACCACAAGCTAACTCTAGGCAGCTTACAATGTTAAAAAGAATGAACCAATATGAAAAAATGAACATAATAAAAATAAAACACTATAAAATACAAATTATCCACTATAACTAAAAGATGGGGAGGAAGGGTTTTATTATGCCTCAATAAATATTTAGAGACTGCATCAATAGATATACTTACAATTTCTTGCCACAAGAAGTGTTGTGCATTGAGTCATATATAACATTGCATACATTTTCCCTTACAATAACTGTCTAGCACATTGGGATAATGAACATTTCTTGTCCATTATTCCAAAATGCTAGACAAAATGCATACATTTAATACTTAAACATAAATTGACATCAGAATGTCCCAACCTTTCTATATTGTCTTGTTTTATAAACTTAGACAATCGATACACAGCCCAGTTGTTTAGTTGTTTAGAAGTCATGCCTCTTCCATTATCTATCACAACAACAGCTGGTTTTCCTTTGGTATCATCAAATAACTGTTATAGAAAAAAAACAGGATATCAAAATACAAAAATAAAATCTGTCTATAAAACATTTTAAATATTATTTGATATCTCACCAGTTTTAAGCGTATGTACCGATCTCCAGAATTTTGAGAAGTAGCTGATAAAGAGTTATCAATCAATTCTGCAAGTGCATATGCTAAATAAAAAGAAAATTTTCTAAGAATTATCATTACTGAAAAGAAATTATAATTTCTTTAAAAGTTACACAAATGCCAAGTTCATGCTTATAGACCACCTTTTTGGAATTAAATTGCAAACACTGTACATGCTGCATTTTAGTATTGTTAACAGTACAGTGGTGGGATTCAAACTTTTTTTACTACCAGTTCTGTGGGCATGGCTTGGTGGGTGTGGCAGGAGAAGGATACTGTAAAATCTCCACTCAGAGGTAGTATTTGCCGGTTCTCCGAACCACTCAAAATTTCCGCTACTGGTTCTCTAGAACTGGTCAGAACCTGATGAATACCACCTTTGTTGCAGTGTATCACAACACTTTTATTTATAACTCTGTAACTTATGAGTTAGAAAATACTCAAGTTACAATCCCTTTGGGGGGCTCTGTTTATTTTGGCAAATCATTGTATTAGTCAACATGATCTAACAAAAGTAATAGTACATTTGCATCCTTAGTTCAATATGTCCCAGGAATAATTTCTTCTTCACTTTACTTTTCATATTACAGTAGAACTTCTGGTTACAACCATAATTCGTTCAATAACTTTGGTCGCAACCCGATTTGGTCGTGACCCAAACCTAATTTTGAAAATTTGGCGCTTTAAAAAAATTGGCGTGGAAGAAGAAATTGGCTGCGAAAAAAAATGTGATTTTTTTGGCTGGAACCCGATTTGGTCATGGTCAGAAGAGTGGACCAGAGGTTCTACTCTACTGTACTGGATAGATAAAAGAATTGGAAGATGAATATAATCAAAGTCAAATGGAAGATTCTAGTATATCTTATGGTGTTTCTTAAGAATCGGATTTCATTCTTGAAATTTCTCTCTTTCGAAAAGAGTAGAAGAATGGCAAGATTGATGTCAGCCATCCCAGGTGAGCCAAACAGGAAAGAAGACTAGATAAACTGATTCTATTTTGTTGTAAGGGTTCATTCAGGGGTGGGATTCTACTGGTTTGGACCGATTCTATAGAACTGGTTGTTATGATTCTGTGCAGTTCGGAAAACCGGCAAATCGTGCCCCTGGCTAGCAACAGATCATGGGAATTCAAGCCAAAATTAGTGCAAAAGATTTAAAGATTTTCCTCACCCCAAACTTTTAATTCCCTGATTGAAAATAGATGACGAATGAACTAGAAGTGAAACAGACCTGAAATAAATCAAACTGAAGTTTAAAAAATCGCAAACTGCAGGGCATGTCAAGCTTAGTAACCCAGTTGATAAGGATGGTCTAGCAAGAGAGCTTAACTATACTGAGAATAGAAAGAAAGAAATCTGTTCTTTTACAGAAAAATAAAAAGAAAAGCTTCCATTCTATCTGCTTTTTTAAAGGATATTTAAAACAACAGAACTTGATTAAACAATCCAAGCACAATCAATGAGTTGACTTCCAGATATTCTCCACCTCTTTTAACAACCCCATAATCTCTTGCGGGTGCAGTCTGTGCAACTGAATGGATCAAGCAGAGTGTTTACTGGCAAGATCTCCTTCCTGTTGTCAATGTGGAGTTTTTTTCAGCAAATATGTTCTCATTGTGCCCAAAAAGGGGGACCTGCCTCTACCTAGGATCGAACTCACAGACTCACAGCCATTCTGAGGTGAGAGCTCCATCTCTAGGCTACCGCATCACTCATGGACTTCCAGATATACTGTTAATATTTAAATACTTACGAAGAGGATTTTGGTTCCTGCTGGCATAGTATTCATACATTCCACTTTTCAGAAGTGTGTCATAATGTGGAAAAAACTCAATGCGTTCCCTTATTGCTGAAGTGAGCGACTGATTAAGTCTTTGTAGCAAGTAGAGAGTCATCTTGTCTTTAACAATTTGACCTACAAGATACATATGGAACTTTAAATAAGGAAAATTTCATTACTAAAATGTACTAATTTCTTAATTTGTGAATGCTTGTTTCCAATACTGCTTTATAATCTTCCAGTTGTCCTATTGCCACATACTACTCCCTTACTCATATTTTTTCTTCCATTCCCAAAATAATTTTCTGTTATTTCACCTTAAATGGAAGTAGTCGCCAACTTACAGCCATTCATTTAGTGACCATTCAAAGTTACAATGGCACTGAAAAAAAGTGACTTACAACTGGTCCTTGCACTTATGACCATTACAGCACCCATACCCCCATCACGTGATCAACCTTCAGGCTCTTGGCAACTGGCATGGATTTACAACAGTTGCAGTGTCCAAGTCATATGATTGTCATTCATGACCTTCCCAGTTGGTGTTCAACAAGCAAAGACAAATGAGGGAGGCCAGATTTGCTTAACAACCACAATTCACTTAACAATTGCAGTGAATCCCTTAACAACAATGGCAAAAATGGTTGTAAAATTGGGCACCCACTGAAGCACCATCTTGCTTACAAATGGAAATTCTTGTCTCAAATATGGTCGAGGGCTATCTGCAAATCACCTGCTAGTTTGCAGAAGGACTGATCCTTCAATCTAAGCCAATGCTTACTACTCACTCTGATATTATCTATTCTTCTCATTAATAATAGAATTTGCATAGCACAGTGGCTGTGGTATTTGCTTAGCATGGAGAAGATTGCTGGTTCAAAACAAGGCAGATTTTTAATTATGCTGATAGTCCTTATTCCTGACCATTTATTCAGTGACTGTTCAAGTTACAACATTGGAAAAACAGACTTATTGGTATAACTGGTATTTGAAGTTTAGGCTGTCACAGCACCCTCATAACTCATATGATGGTGATTTTGGTGAATGGCAACTAGTACACATTTATGGGAGTTAACAGGCTAACCGGACTGCAATTTATGACCTTCAGAGCAAGCATGTGGTCGTGTTAATATTTCACTTTATAACCACATAAGATTAGTGAAAGAGTTGACAGTTCCAGTTGTGGTCAGTAAGTGAACGATAACCTGTAATTATTCTTTTCTTGAGTAATTTTGGAGCATTTTTTAAATAAGTGGAGAGCTTTATAATAAACTGTTTTACTTAATTTTTGCCATCCCTTCATGATAGGCGAGGTCAGAAAACAGAACAAGAATTTCAGAATTACTACTCTATTCTTGGGCATAATCCAATTGTGAAAGCCTACCATAGTATCAGTCAGCCCTCTCTTATTACTTTTGACAGAATTATTTTGGTTTTTTTTTTCCTTTTCCCTAGACTGAAATGTTTCTTTTATTTTCTTTTAATGGTGAATACATTATTTCATCAAGATTATCTTTATACTCTTCTAAATTTTTTAGAAAACTCAGGAGAAAAATACCTTTTTATCTGGGTTTTAACTGGCAGTTTTCACTGTGCTATTCTTAGAATATCTAACATAATTCTAACATTGTCTTAAAATAAAATTTGCATTCAGCTTTGTGAATAAACTCTTGCAAAAATTATTTTTAGTTCACCAACTAAAATCATTTAAACAATTTATAACTATTATTAATGATACTGGTCTATAATTCCTGGCCTGTCAAACCTTGTCTTACTTAGATATTAATGCTATATTTGTGTCTTCCAAATCTCAAGCAGTAAGATCAATAATGATAAAATGCTTTTTGTATTGCCCCATTATCCAGCATCTCCCTTTTGAAGATACAATAACTTTTTCTTTTCTAAATGATATGCTATTAATTTCCTTAGTTATTTGCAAATTCAAAGAAGATATTTTTTGCTTTATGTAATTCATTTTTATTTCCATTCTTTCACTGTTAATATCAAGAACAGTTCTAAAAGTTTAATTTGATAAGAGATATTTCTTTGGGAATTTCTTTGTCATTTTTTTTCTATTTACTTCATTTTTTAGTATGATATCTTATAAAATATCCTAATAAAAGCTTTATCTGCATCCCAAACCATTCCTGTTAATGTTTATATTGACATTTTTAAAAAAAATTCTAATTTTTAATTCTCATATGAATTTTTTTTTGTGTGAAATTTTTTGAAGTCCTGATCATTTGATCCACAATCTGTGTTTTTTAATTTAGAACCAAAACATTCTTTCAAGAAAAATTGAAGTTTTAAGTTCAAAACCAAAATAATCTTTTTAGAAAAATGGTGGTTGTTGCAAGACAAACATTGGTGAAGCATAGTAGCAAAACTTTAATATTTAATTAATAGTTCCTTGGTATAAAATTGATTTGTCATTATAAATACAATATACTTACCAAAGTTTTCACTTGTTATTTGTTTTCTGTCAGTTGTTGTGATAACAAAAGTTTCACTGGAGGAAATACCAAATACCTATAAGTACAAGGTAAATCTCTAGATTAATAGAGAGAATGAGATTCAGGTATTTAAAAACATGAAAGAATTATCCAATAAATGTTTCCCATAACAGCTTTTCATATTTCTTTGGCTTGATATCTGGATTCTACAATAGACAGATCTTCTAGTTATTTATAACTTTTTATGTCTATAATAAGGAAATTTACCAATCTGAAGATTCTGCTGTTATTTAATTATTAAATGCAGGGTTAGGATTTCTTGAGTGAAGATTTTTAGCTGTGCCCAGCTCTAAGCCTGACAGTTATCAAAGCTAATATTTAAGGGAACTTTTAATTCCCTTAATACTTTTTTAAAATGAATAACTCCAGGAATATGACAGGCAACAGAAGGAGAATCAGCAAAGAAGCATGCTAACTAAACCATGCCAAGCAAATCTGAAAAAGGACAATGTCCAAAAAAATGAATGCAGTTTACATATCAATAACAAACAAGATACTTAACAGCATATCCAAATTGTCATACAATATCCTTAATATCACATTATCAAAATAACGCTCAGGACCATGCAGTGCAGATTATAGCTCTAAATATAAAAATGTGCCCAAATTGAAAAAATGCTGGGGAATAAGAGCAACGGTGGCGCAGTGGTTAGAATGCAGTACTGCAGGCTACTTCTGCTGACTGACTGCAATGTGGCAGATCAAATCTCACCAGGCTCAAGGTTTACTCAGCCTTCCATTCTTCCGAAGTCAGTAAAATGAGGACCCTGATTGTTGGGGGCAATATGTTGAGTCTGTAAACTGCTTAGAGAGGGCTGTAAAAGCACTGTGAAGTGGTATATAAGTCTAAATGCTACTGCTATTATTGCTGAGGACAATAAAAAAAGCCAAGAAATACCCAAAGTAAGTCAATATAAACTTCGATTATAGAAAAGTTTTTAATTGTATTGATCATGTTAATATGGTTGCTGGTTGCTTGTGAAGGAGGCAGAGCATGAGTACAAAGGAGAAAGGCAGTTTGAACTGCTTCAATTTCCTTTCTGCTTCCCAGAGGCTAGTGGGAGGAGCTGTTGGTTGCTTGTTATGGAGGCAGTGCGTGATTACAAAGGAGAAAGGCAGTTTGGACTGCTTTCACTTCCTTTCCGCTTCCCAGAGGCTAGTGGGAGGAGCTGCTGGTTGCTTGTGAGGGAGACAGAGCGTGAGTATAAAGGAGAAAGGCAGTCTGAACTGCTTCCATTTCCTTTCAGCTTCCTAGAGGCGAGTGGGAGGAGCTGCTGGTTGCTTGTGAGGGAGGCAGAGACTGAGTACAAAAGAAAAAAAGGCAGTGGCCCGCGTGTGTAACGGTGCACAAATCGTATAATTATAAACAAAAAATACCAATACATTCAGGGTTAGTGCGCTTGAGATTGTGATTTTAGTTTATTTGAAAATGATAGTTCAGTGTAATACTTGTTTTGCAGTTGTCTTTTGCAGTACTCTTTTCAAGTACTGTCCTCTTTGTAAAAAAAATTACTAGTCTACATTGACAGATTACCTGTCTAGAATCTCTAATCTGTGCTCTCCAAGCAGAAATTAGGTGCCCAATCCAGCCATCTATTGAGCTGCCATTTTAACCAGCCCCCACTACCACAAAGATTCTACAGCAAAAGGGCAGTATGGACAACCGTGGGATCTGGCAGGGTGAGAGCTGTGGACCATAAACACAAAACTTTTGCTGTGTCCCAGCATAAGATACAGAAGAAGGACATACAACTAAGGCAGAATATCAGCAGATATCCAGAATCTGCAAAGACGAAGTAAGGAAAGCCAAGGCTCAGAACGAACAAAGACTTGAAACAAAAGTCAAAGATAATAAAAAAAGTTTCTTCCAACATATAAATAACAATAAAAAAATCAAGGAAACAGTCAGTCCACTAAAGAGAGAAGATGGCAAGGAAGTAACAGGCAACAGAGAGAAAGCAGAACTGCTTGACTCATTCTTTGCATCGTCTTCATGCAAAAAAAACTATACCTCAACTCACCCAAAACATAACTGTAAAAGACAGACCAGAAATAAAAATTAAAATAAGCAAAAAAAAAAATAATAGTAAGAGAACACCTGTCTGATCTTGAGGAGCACAAATCACGGGGCCCTGATGGATTACATCCCAGAGTTCTGAAGGAACTGGCAGAGGTCATCTCAGAACCACTGCACCATATCTTTCAAATATCCTGGAGCACCTGTATCTAACAAAATGAAATTCAATGTAGAGAAAAGTAAAGTCCTACACTTAGGCAAGAAAAACCAAAAGGACACATATAGACTGGGTGAAACCCAGCTGAATACCGTGTTTCTCCAACAATACGGCCTCCACCAATAGGAAGGCCCAGCATGATTTCTAGGCATGAGGTGAAATTGAGCCCCACCCCCAAAATTTAGGTCTATTTAAACCATGCGTTTCCCGCCATTTCTCACATTGTTCGTTAGAACTACACAAGGTGAAGAGAAATGGGGGGGGGGGAAGGGTGGGGGAGGGGAGAAAACTTGCCTTTAGGAGTGCCCTGCAGGTAGTATAGGCGAAAATTCCCCGATCTACTATTGATAAAACATCAGCTGATAGAAGCTCCCCGAAGGCAGAGTCCCCAGCCACTTCAGGGTGAGGCGTGGCTGCCCATGTCCCCTCGCCATTAGGCAGTGTCTTTCGGGCAATGGAAGCTCCCCAAGGGCAGTCACCAGCCACTTTGATTGGCCGGTAGAAGCAGCCTTGGGGCAAGTGCACACGCACACTCCCCTCGCCCCGAGGCTGCTTCTACCGTCCGATTGAAGTGGCTGGTGACTGCCCTTGGGGAGCTTCCATCACCCAAAAGACACTGCCTAATGGCGAGGGGACATGGGCAGCCACGCCTCGCCCCGAAGTGGCTGGGGACAAGGCCTTTGGGGAGCTTTCATCGGCCGATAGAAACAGCCTCATAGAGAGGTACATGCACATGGGCCACTCTAGGTGGGGGAGGAAATTAAGTAAAAAAAAAAAAAAGGCCTGGCCTTATTTTGTGAAACAAGGTAGCAGTAACTGTGAGGAGGATCTTGGAATCTTAACGGACAACCAGCTAAATATGAGCCAGCAATGTGCAGCAGCAGTCAAAAAAGCTAATTCAACCCTAAGTTGCATTAACAGAGGGATACAATCAAGATCAAGTGAGGTACTAATATCACACTATGAAGCCTTAGTAAGACCACACCTAGATTCCTAATCTAGTTTTAGTCACCACATTATAAAAAAGATGTTGAGACTCTAGAAAAAGTACAGAGAAGAGCAACCAGGATGATTAGGGGACTGGAGACCAAAACATATGAAGAACAGTTATAGGAACTGGACATGGCTAGTCTAGTGAAGAGAAGGACCAGGGGAGACATGATAGCAGTCTTCCAATATTTGAGGGGCTTCCACAGGGAGGAAGGGGTCAAGCCATTTCCTAAAGCGCCTGTAGGCCAGACAAGGAATAATGCATGGAAACTGAACAAGGAGAGATTTAACCTGGAAATAAGGAGAAACTTTCTGACATTGAGAACAATCAACCAATGGAACAGCTTGCCCTTGGAAGTTGTGGGAGCATCATCACTTGAGACTTTCAAGAAGAGATTGAACTGCCATTTGTCAGAAATGGTGTAGGATCTCCCACTTGGGTAGGGAGTTGGACTAGATGGTCCCTTCCAACTCTGATTATCTGTATCTATGGACTATCCCAGGAAAATGAGTATTGCAGAACATTTCATTATGCTGTAGAAATCTATACAAAGGAAAAGAAGTCAGAGCCTGCCATTTGAATTTCTTTGTTCTGAAATGCCTTTAAGAATATTTCTGAGCTAGAAGAATTCTGCAAGAAATAATGGGATATGTTATTTATTTATTAAATGCATATGCTTCCCATCTTGCTGTCCGAGGAGACTCTGGGCAGCTTACAAAATTGATTTATTTTATAAATTTATTTATTAAATGTTTATGTCATCTCCCCAGAAGATACTCTGGGCTGCTTACAAGCTATAAAATATAACAGTTATAAAATAAGTAAAAAATAACTAAAATATTAGAACATGAAAACTACAGAGATTGTGATTATAAAACTTAAGAAAAATTTCAGAAGAAAAAGTATTGTTAGGTTGTAGGAAACATGGAAACAACTATTATCTCTGTCAAGAGAGCTGGTTTGATATAACCATTAAGGAACCAAGCTAGAAACCAGGAGACTGAGTTTTATTCCTGCTTTAGGCACAAAGCCACCTCAGTAACTTAGCCCAGTCTCAGTTCTAGGTGACAAATGACTTCTGAAATCTTGTAAAGGAAACTGCAACTGCTGGAACTTGCTTGTCAAGGAAGTCACAAAGAGTCAATACTAACTCAAAGACATTTCCGCCCCTCCCCCCCAAAATCTGCTAAAAGACATGTTACAAAACAAGAGCTATATGCTCAATTTGCAGAAAGATTTCAAGTTTAGCTTTTTACAAGAGATTGATCTGCTTCCAATACATTTAAGAATGTACTGAACCGTAGTTTTACCAGCAATGAGCATGCGTTTAAATACATCTATGACTTTTACTATGACAGTTGAGCTAGGTTGTCAGGAAACTGAGTTTTTTATGATATTTGCATGCCAACTTTTCTAAATTATTTTACCATTAAGAGCATATAACAATTATCTCATGGTGGAAAAATACCTACAATAATACAATCAACACGATTAAAAAAAAGAAAAAGAAAGCAAGCCAACCCAAGCAGCCTAATAATAGCAGACAGGAAGCCTACAGTATTTCTAATTCATTTAATAAACTGTTTCTTAAGTCATTCTCGGTATGCAGGAAAAAAAAAAAGATACATCGCAGGTTCACATTTTCTTTCCGCTGCCGCCGTCTTGTTCTCGGCTATGATTCGGGCTATAAATTCTCGCCCTTCAGGTGGTCAAAGGAACTTCTGCCTTGACCGTTCGCTGTCCCTTTCTAAAAAGCTCCTGTTCTGGTTCCCGGTGCGCTGCGTGACCCGGCAAGTGACCCGAAAAAAGGGAGCCCGACGGTAGGGGACCGGGACCGGGACGAGGGGGGGGGGGGCGCCGCCCGCGAGACCAGTGGCGCAGTTCCATGAATGACGCCGCATTTTAATTCGCCTCCCTCCCTTAACGTTACCTTGTGGACGTCCGTAAGGAAGCTCCCATAGTTTTTCGGGTGACATTGAAGTTCTTTTTCGGCGTCATCTGACTGGTTCCGACGCCGGTCGTACACGAAGACCCTTAGGATTTTGCCGTCGGTGTCCTCTTCTGCCGCTGCCATGTTGCCCCGACGGCCGAACTCCCAGCCGAGCGCTTGTTCTGCCGAACGCAATCTAGTTGCGTTTTAGCGGAGGAAAGGAACGGAGGGGCTGAGGAGAAATATATAATCGTATGGGGTGTGGACAGTGGGACGAGGGAACGAGGGCTGGCCAAACTAAGCAGGCGAGGCGAAGAGGGAGAGGACCGGTGAGGAACTGAAGAAACGAAAGCTATCGCAGGGGTTTCGTTTCGTTTTCAGGAAGCAGCGCTCCGACGGAATGAAGTTTCGGAGTAAAGTCAAAATGCCATTGGCTGTTCGGAGATGCAAGACACAGAAGAGAGAACTGTCCCCCCCCCCACCCCCCCTTTCTGGCTTCTGTTACTTTTTGAAAGTTTAAGAATTGTTTCGTTTAATTTTTGTGCATCATGGTATTTTTTATTTATATTTTTCTCTATTTTGGATTCAATTAAAAGAAATATTGTTAGCTTTATTAACAGAATACAACATAACATGTTTAAAAAGGCAAAACCTCAGTGAATATCTGAGGTATCATAGCACTGATACCATACTATAAGGAAAGTGTGTGTGTGTGTGTGTGTGTGTATAAAATGTATATTGCCTCCCATATGCCCATGGCAACTCAAGGTGGCTTACACAATGTAAAACCATATTTAAAACAAAACAAAAAACATAAAACCATAAAAACTAACAAAAAGAATCAAATAAAGTATAATAGAACAAAATCTGGAAAAAAAATGGGGAAAAAAATCACCCCCCCAACTCCCAACTGGGCTTTTTTGCACCAACTGGAGCTTCCCGATGTTCTTCAAGGGCAGCCCCATGTAGAGCGAGTTGCAATAATCAAGACGGAAGTGACCCGGACATGAGTGACTGTGTGCGCGCGCGCACACACACACACACACACACACACACACTCACTCACTCACTCACTCACTCACTCACTCACTCTTCCCCAGAAAGGGGAGAGAAAACTTTCATACTGCGGCAAATTCATTATTGATCAACCCACTGCTGATTGAACAGAAGCAATAGTTAATATAGGCTTATAGAATGTACTGTAAGAGATTACATTGAGCATCTTCTAGTCCAACCCACTGCCCAATGCAGAACTCCAGAACTACAGGTGAAACTTGAAAAATTAGACTATGGTGCAAAAGTTCATTTATTTCAGCTTAAAGGTGAATCTAATATATGATAGACTCATTACCTGCAAAACAAGGTAGTTCAAGCTGTGATTTGCCATAATTGAGATTATTATGCCTTACAGCTCATGAAAACCCTAAATCCACAATCTTAGAAAATTAGAATATTGTGAAAAGGTTCAATATTCTAGGCTCAAAGTGTCCCACTCAAATCAGCTAATTAAGCCATAACACCTGCAAAGGGTTCCTGAGCCTTTAAATGGTCTCTCAGTCTGGTTCAGTAGGAATCACAATCATGGGAAAGTCTGCTGACCTGACAGTTGTGCAGAAAACCATCATTGACACCTTCCATAAGGAGGGAAAGCCTCAAAAGGTAATTGTAAAAGAAGTTGGATTATTTTTAATTTTTAAATAAATTTTAAATAATTTTTTAAATAATCTAAGAACTGTTATTGATGGTGAACAAACAGGTCCAATAAATATTGAAAAGGGTGTCAGACAGGGTTGCCCTCTCTCACCCCTCCTATTTATATTTGCTTTAGAATCACTTTTAACGCAGATAAGACAAAATCCTGAAATTAAAGGAGTAAGGGTCAAAGCAGAGGAATATAAATTACAAGCGTTTGCAGATGACATGGTTTTCTTCTTAGAGGAAGCTATGGAAAAAGGACATAATTTAATAAAAGAATTGGATGTTTCCAAAGTGCTGTATCAAAGGACTTTCACAAGGAGTGGACTGAGGCTGGAGTCAGTGCATCAAGAGCCACCACACACAGACGGATCCTGGACATGGGCTTCAAATGTCGTATTCCTCTTGTCAAGCCGCTCCTGAACAACAAACAATGTCAGAAGCATCTTACCTGGGCTAAAGAAAAACAGAACTGGTCTGTTGCTCAGTGGTCCAAAGTCCTCTTTTCTGATGAGAGCAAGTTTTGTATCTCATTTGGAAACCAAGGACCCAGAGTCTGGAGGAAGAATGGAGAGGCACACACTGCAAGATGCTTGACGTCCAGTGTGAAGTTTCCAGTCTGTGTTGATTTGGGGAGCCATGTCATCTGCTGGTGTTGGTCCACTGTGCTTCATTAAGTCCAGGGTCAACACAGCCATCTACCAGGAGATTTTTGAGTACTTCATGCTTCCTTCCTCAGACGTGCTTTATGGGAATGCTGACTTCATTTTCCAGCAGGACTTGGTACCTGCCCAAACTGCCAAAAGCATCCAAACCTGGTTCAATAACTGTAGGATTACTGTGTTTGATTGGCCAGAAAACTTGCCTGACCTGAACCCCATAGAGAATCTATGGGTCTTTGCCAAGAGAAGGATGAGAGACATGAGACCAAACAATGCAGGAGAGCTGAAGGCCGTTATTGAAGCATCCTGATCTTCCATAATACCTCAGCAGTGCCACAGGCTGATAGCTTCCATGCCACACCGCATTGAGGCAGTAATTACTGCAAAAGGGTGCAGTAAGTGCACGCTTATACTTTTCAGAGGTCTGATACTGTTCTATGTACAATCCTTGTTTTATTAATTGCGTGTAATATTCTAATTTTCTGAGATTGTGGATTTGGGGTTTTCATGAGCTGTAAGCCATCAATTATGACAAATCACGGCTTGAACTATCTTGCTTTGCATGTAATGAGTCTATTTCATATATTAGTTTCACCTTTTAAGTTGCATTACTGAAATAAATGAACTTTTGCATGATATTCTAATTTTTTGAGTTTCACCTGTCTAGCATCCCTGACCAAGGTCATGCAGACTGTTTAAATATCTCCCCTCCAGGAGAGCCCACCACTTTTAAGGCATTTTGTTTCATTCTTGAATAGGTTTCATCGCTAGCCATTTCCCCCCGATGTTCACTGAAGCATTTGCCCCCCTTTAGCTAACATTCACCTAACCCTTTCTCCAGAATTCTTTAGTGGTATTACATAAAGGTTTACCAGAACATTAGCTCGTTCCTTCAGTACCCTAGAGAACCTGTATAAATTTAATAAATATGTTCTATTTCAGAATATAACCATGGATTGGACGCCTGCCCTGTCTAGCCTAGTCTGTTCTGACTGTGGCCAATCAATTGCACCAGCAAACTCTTCTCTAGCAAATTGTTCAAAGGCAATGATGCTATCAATCATAAAAAAAAACAAACCACAGCCAAGCTGGTCAATAGCACATCATTTTGTGGTAGCCAATTCCAAAATTTAATTATATATTTTGTAATGTTTGACCTTTTGTCTGTAGTCTTCCAGCATTCAGTTTCACCCATAATTCCAATATTTTGAGAAAGGGAAATTAGCTTCTCATTCACTTAATCCATGTCATCTCCCCCACCGGTTTCTTTTAGGCCAAAACAGCCCAAATTTGGGCTGGGAGGGACAGGAGCACTGCCAGAGCCCTGCAAAATGACCTCCAGTGGGCCACAAATGTGCATGTGGCTGCTCAAACGGTCAGAAACAGAGTCCATGAGGGTGGTATGAGGGCCCAATGTCCACAGGTGGGGGTTATGCTTACAGCCCAAAACCGTGCAGGATGTTTGGCATTTGCCAGAGAACACCAAGATTGGCAAATTCGCCACTGGCACCCTGTGCTCTTCACAGCTGAAAGCAGGTTCACACTGAGCACATGTGACAGACTTGACAGGGTCTGGAGACGCCATGGAAAACATTCTGCTGCCTGCAACTTCCTCCAGCATGATCAGTTTAGCAGTGGGTCAGTAATGGTGTGGGGTGGTGTTTCTTTAGGGGGCCACACAACCCTCCATGTGCTCGCCAGAGGTAGCCTGGCTGCCATTAGGTATCGAGATGAGATCCTCAGACCCCTTGTGAGACCATATGCTGGTATAGTTGGCCCTGGGTTCCTCCTAATGCACAACAATGCTAGACCTCATGTGGCTGGAGTATGTCAGCAGTTCTTGCAAGAGAAAGGCATTGATGCTATGGACTGGCCCGCCCGTTCCCTAGACCTGAATCCAATTGAGCACGTCTGGGACATCATGTCTTGTTCCATCCACCGCCACGTTGCACCACAGACTGTCCAGGAGTTGGGGGATGCTTTAGTCCAGGTGTTGGAGGAGATCCCTCAGGAGACCATCCACTACCTCAGGAGCATACCCAGGCATTGTAGGGAGCTCATACAGGCACGTGGAGGCCACACACACTACTGAACCTCATTTTGACTTGTTTTAAGGACATTACATCAAAGTTGGATCAGCCTATAGTGTTTTTTTCCACTTTAATTTTTGAGTATAACTCCAAATCCAGACTTCTATGGGTTGCTAAATTTGATTTCCATTGATAATTTTTGTGTGATTTTGTTGTCAGCACACTCAACTATGTAATGAACAAAGTATTTCATAAGAATATTTCATTCATTCAGATCTAGGATGTCTTATTTTTGTATTCCCTTTATTTTTTTGAGCAGTGTATTTTAACTGAAAACGTATTTTCTGCTGACATTTTTTTGGGAAAATATAGCTAACCCCAGTAGATTTTTCATAGGTAAAAACAGAGCTGTGTTGCACTTTTTCCTAGAATTTTCTCGATTTGAAAAAAAGTCTTTGTGGTCATATTTTCTGCAATTTGCAGAACAGGGCAGCATTCAACATAGACTTCTGTTGCAGCCACTGTTGTGGCCAGGAGGTGTTGCTTCACTCCACAATAACACAGGTTTAAATCTTTCCCTGAGATCTTGTGAAATATTGACTATTTGAAACTATGGTTTTCCCATGTTGATAATTGGTAGGCAATTACAGGCTTTACATTAGTAACTCAATTTTCAATCATACTTTTTGCATTCTAATTAGTGCTTTCAAGAACAAAACAAATATATGTGAAATATTTGAATCCATGAGCATTTATCAGTCTATGTACTGATCAGTCTATGTACTGTATCAGTCTATGTACTGATACTCATAAAACAGAGTCAGGTTTTAAGGCTTAATGTATTTATGCATCCAAAAAGTAAATATTGGTTTTAATAACTGAACTATTATAATAAAAGAGATAGCCTCCAAAGATCACATGAACAGAAGGTACGATTCAAACATTATAAAACACTGCCATAACAAGCAAACATTTTAGAGCATTTCTATACTATACAGATAATATTTTCATGTGTCTGAAGTATACAGGGTACTCATCTTCTTTTTGTAATTATCTAGGATTTCTTTCAAATTCATCAGCGGATCTTGAGATATAAATTCATTGAATTCTCTGTCAATTTTTATATTCTGTTCAGTCAAGTATTTCTAGAAGAAAATGGTTATAGATTATATTTTAGTGCTTATAGTTTTGATTTTATAAATGCATAACTGGCATGATAAGAGGCAATGTAAAATGCAGCTGTTATCTGTAGACAATTTTTTTCTATAAAACCAGTACAAAATTATTAAATGTTATAAAAACAGAAATTTAATGTGAGAGATTTCTTAAAAACTTCCATAGGCTTGAATAACAGATTTGTAAAAATGGAAGAATAGGCAGAGAACGTCACCAAACATTCTCCATCACTACTTCACAATACAGGCATCAAAAAGTTATAGGAACTCCCCCAAAATTATAACAAAGGAATGAATTTACTCTATCCACTATAGAGAATGAACTTTTAGAGTAAATATTGTATTTATCTACAGGTGACCCTTAGCCCCTAAGGCTTAATGGAATTAATAGCCTAACTAGACCATTTCTCTTTCAGAATAAACTTTGTCTTCAATTACTGCTAAAATCTCATAAAAAAAGAAAAAGATTTTATCCACATGGTAACAAGAGTGTAAAAATATTCATAAAGTGATCTTGATAAGACTTAGTAGATTAACAAGCAGATACATCTTTATTACTCTGACCATATCCAGTCTACATCAAACTGTCCAAGTGGCTTAGGCCTCAATCAAAGCCATGGCAGAAACATCAAAATACTATGATATAATGCACAGAACCAACAAGTGACCACATAATTAACTAAAAAAGCAGGTGAGACAGATACTTATCTGATACACTAGTCAGAGAGCGACCAATACACAATATTATATATTATGAAAATATATAGATATATAAGAAATTCAGCCAGACCTACTCTATTTTGGTAATCTTTTACTATATAACCCAAACTTCTGCATCTGAATTGTGCTCTATTCCCTTTTAGAATGTTTGGATATATTTTAGAAAATTACAGAAACATTTAAGATAATCTTGAAATATGAATCAAAGAATAATCTGGAGAATCATTAAGAATAGTAATTGAATTTACTATAAAGGGTCCTGGTTAATAGCCTCCAAATGATTATATCTCTTCAGGTAAAGATAATACCTTACTTCTGTCCCCTAGGAAAAAATCCCCTTCAATATCAGGCTTGACACAAAAGATTGCTCTTTCTTGGACCCAGTGAAGATGATGAAAACACTAGAGAGCGACTTTCCCAAATGCACATGGTCTATGTCACTAACATGGATAAGATATTTGATTGTCTGGACCAATTTGCTTTTCCTAATATTTGGAGATTTGGGATGGCATGAATTTGTCTAAATTTTCTGTGCCATTGTACAGCGCAACCTATACTGGTTGGTGGAGCTGGATTACAGGCTTCATCATTTTATTTATTTTATTTTTGTAATTACTTATGCATTTGGGGGCATGAAGAATCGTAGGGAAGATTTCTTGTCCTGGCCCCTTTTTCCTTCTTCTATGTTGTAGGGAAGGGGGATTTAAATGATGATTTAAAGTGTCTTCTTTCCTGTTCTACTCATAATAGAAATTAGAGAAACTGTAAGAAAATACATTTGAATCCAACCACCTTTAGAATTTATTTAAATATTTCTGGGAAAGTGGGAGGAAGGTTGCTGTTTCTGTATGGGAATGTTTGTCTTTCCCAATATGATTAGCTAGAACTTAAGACTTTGAGGAAAGTGCTAAATGGTTTTCTCTAGGCAGGTCTTTTGATGGGCAATAATCAGCTGGATTTAAGGGGAACGAACAACTGGGTTCTCTGTGTTATGGTCCAACTATGGGGAAAAAAAGAGAGATCCTCTGCCTTGCTTAAGGAATCAAGAGATGGGTCACTGAATTGGTTCGATGTCTGATCCATTTGTTTCTCAAAATCTCTCAAGTACTTCCATTGTTAAAGGATTGTTATCCCTATCCAGCTTTCCTTTTTCTTGTAACACATGAATGTTTATCTTTCTCTCCCCTGTCCATTGAACTGAGAAATGAGGAGAAGGAAGCCTGAAGTAAGTGAAAGGGATAGTTTGAGAGTGGAGATCAGTGTGATAGCAGTGCTGAAGGAGAAGCTGCCTCCTATAGCAGCAGTGAAATAGCTACAACTTTCCTAAATTTCACTCTCTTTTTGGGAAGGAGAGGCTCCGTGTTTTGTAAATTAGCCCATAAGAGGTACTTTGATTGAAAAAAACCCTGCCCTGATACAACTTTCAGCCACTTAAAGGGTACACAGTGAGAGTTTCAGTAGTATATAATAGCTTGAATTACCTCAACAGTCTCAAGATGAGTAAATATTAGTTCCAGAAGATACTGCACATTTTTATCGATTTTCCTTTTCTCTTCTGAAGTTGTTTGCATAACCACTTGGTATCTAAGGAGTAAATACCAGAAGAGGGAAGGAGAAGATAATATTGCATTATTTATATTGAAAAACTGTCCCTCCATCTATAAATTCAAGGTTTGTATAAACAGCCTGTAATAATTAACACACGTAGCATTCCAAAATCTAAACATGTTTCATTAAAAATGTTCCCATTTAACTAAGATTAATATTTGTATTGCATTGCCTATTACCTATTGTTTGTATGATTATTTTATTTTGTGGTTTTTCTAAAAAAAATTGTTTACATTTTAATTGTAAATTGCCCAAAGTCACAACCTAAGATGGGTGGCACTGTAAGTTGAATAAATAAACATATGTTCAACTCAGAAAACCCTCTAAGTCAAATCTTTGTTTAATTAAACTAACCGGCATCGGGTTTCATGCAGTTCCTTCGTGGCTTCACTGATACCCTCATTGACACCATTATAAAGCAAACTTTTATGTTTCTCCAACAATTCCAGCTCCTTCTTACTCTTTTCTTCTTCTTCAACAACTTCCTGCAATACGTATATGGATTAATACTTCAGAACTAAATCATATGCTTATGACACAGGTAGACTATTGCAAGAGAGCATTATAAGTTTAATAAAGTGACATTGCTGCAGTTCTATATTGTTAGAAGCGTATTTGTCTTTTAGATCATTAATTTTTATTACAGCTAAAATACTTTTGAAAATACTTTACCCAACTAGTTTTTATGAATCAGAAAAGATTAGAACCCCAGTTCTCCCAGTTCTAGTTAAGCACCTTACTCAACACGCTACTATGTTTCTTTATGTTATGTGTACATTTCTTAACAGAAAAAAAACCTTCTTAATAATGAATTCTATAGAGATGAACTTACAAGCTCTTATATATCATATTTAGTACAATACCTTTGCTTTTTGCTGACATAAATCTTCCAGTTTTTGTGTTTCTTCTCTTAACATTTTCATAATGCTGTTTTGTTCGGCTTCCATTGTATTTACCTTAAAGAATATTATTTAATAAGGGATGTTAGTACTGAAAGTCAAGGGTGCCTCCAGTTCACATCCTTTGCTTTCAAGTTTACATTTTTAGGCAAAAAGTACACTAATTAAATAATTAAAAGAATTCTGAATCCTGACACTTTCACATTTGAAAATCTTTTAGTTTACATACAGAACAGTTTGAAGATCTATAGGAATATCTACTGAACATCTAGAAATTTAGATTGCATTGTCCACATTTTTTTTCATTATTGTTTTCCTTTCCTAGCAACCCTATATTGTTTTGAGCACTGAATTATGATTAGGAATAAGAGAAGGATAAACAAGGATTAATATACAGTAGGTTGCATTACATTATACAGTATAGCTGGTTTTCCACTAGACCAGAGATAGTTAGGAAGTTACCTGTTCTAAGGTATCTTCTAAGTCAATTTTTCTCTTCGTTGCATTTGCAATCTCTTCTTCTGTCTTGTTTATGAGATTCAGAAGGGGAGCCTGCCATAATTATATAAACACAATAAAGAAAAAAGTACAAAGTTTTCCAGTAAAGTTATCCAGTTAAGGGGTTTATACTTTAAATAAATGGCATATGCAGATAATATAGAAAAGATCTTCCTATAAACCGATAAGGCAATATTCTTTTCCAAGTACTGTTACATTAGTTCATACTCCAGGGAGTGGTTTTATATTATAAAGCCACAGAGATTGCCATGCTAGATCAGACCAATTGTCTATCAGTCAAACATTCTGTTTCTCATAGTAGCCAATCAGATGCCAATTGGAAGTTGATTAACAAAACAAGATAGCAGAAGCCCTTTCAACCGTTGATGTTCCAAGGGAGCATCCGTAACCTAATGTGCAAATATTTTTAAGCCTTTATTAACATATTCCAGTCTATACATAGTACTTAAACCAATTTTTCTGCATAATAAATAAGATATTAATTTCCCTTGACGCTCATTGTGATAGGAGAAATGAACTTCACCTGTAAGTATTATTAAGGTATTATGTTCATTTATTGAAAGAAAGTGATTATCTAAAAGAACTTCATATGAAAAGTGAGCTTATACTTACACGAATCTGAGTTCTGTACTTAAACAGACAATTAGGCCCTGCATCAGGATTGAATGTAATTTCAAAATCATGATCACCAGAATTCTCTGCACTTGTAGGAATTAGTTTTAATTTTCGAGCCAATTTATGGTATTCTGTCAAATCTGCTTCAATCTATAAAGAATGAACAAAATTAAGAAGCATACCCTAAGAACCTTACAGCTGATGAAGTCTATGAAAACCGGAATTGCTTCATAACCACAGCATTGTTTTGCATTTCTTTGCATTTTCAAAGTTTGTCTTTTCTATACCTATATTTAAATGTTAGTACAAGCTGTTTTATCTTCCCAGCTTCTGACAAACATTAAAAATACTCAAGACAAATTATCAAAAGTTTTTGTCTCTTTTGATTTGATCACCAATTTAAAGTTGGTTGATATATGGAGACAGAAATTTGCAGTTAAAGAGTGCCTGTTTTTCTGAGTGAAATAGTTCCTTTCAAAAATATGATTTAGATTTTTGGATTGGGCCACTAAGGCATAAATATTAGCAAAGACCTTTTTAGATCATAATCTTGTGAATTTGGCATATAGGAGGAAAATCTGGTTCATTTAGATGGAGATGAAATGAAATCTTGCTTCAGAAAGAAAGAATGGCAGAGAAATGTAAAAAGAAATTAAAATCATGTCTGAAAATAATTTAGATAAAGGTATTGATTTAAAAATGGCTTGAGATGCAAGTAAAGCTTTCATTAGATTCTTTTATAAAATATATTAGTGAACTCCACCCCACAAAAAGTCACAAAAAAATACAAGGTATTTTAATACAGAATAATAGTGTTGGAAGGGATCTTGTAAGTCATCTAGTCCAACTCCCCGCCTAAGCAGGAGACCCTGCCTACACCATTACTGACAGATGCCATCTGTCTTTTGTCCAAAGCAGATCCAGTACAGGTAGTTCTTAACTTACATCCACAATTGAGCCCCAAATCGATGTTGTTCAGTGAGAAATTTGTGATGGGAGTCCTGCCCCACTCTATGACCCCTCCCGCCACATTTGTTAATGAATCACTGCACTTATTAAATTAGTAACACAGATTTTAGATGAAGTAAAGAGAAAAGGTGACCTAAGAAATTTCCAGAAAAGACAAATATTTTTCAGCAAATTAACTTTTTACAATGACACTTATAGATTCTAGTTATTTCTCTATTAGCAGGATAAAATATTATTTAATTAAGTTTATACGAAATAAAGCAGCAGCAATAGAAATATTAGTCTCCCAGATGCAAATGTCAGATGCTCAAAACTTTTGTTTTAGCTATACATACTGCTTCTTTTCCTCTTGCATATTTTAATTCCTCATTCCACAGTTGCCGCTGCTCTACTTCCAATTCCTTGGTTAATTTATTTACTGTCTGTTTCATCTCCTCTATTTCAGAATTCAGTTTCTCAATATCTGCAGTGGAATACTTTTGATTATCACAAATGACCACCAGACGTGAGTTTTCCTGTTTCAGTGCTTCAATTTCCATGGCTAAAATTCAAGGAAAATAAAATCTTGTTTGGAAAACATGTAAGTTTTTTAAAACATTGTTAAGTTGAAGCTTAAGATCAAATTATAAAATACTTAGATCAAATTTAAAAATATTAGGAACTAGATCTTATAAGAAGAATCTACTAAAAGGCATGAGAAACTTAGTAGTAGTAAGAAAGATGTAATTAAATTCTCTACTTCTGTTTAGATCAGGGGTGTCAAACTCAAGGCCTGAGGCCAGATCCAGCCCATGGAGTACTTAGATCTGACTCTTGGGGGACCCTGGAATTAGTGAAGGGCTGGCCCGTAGTACATGCCAAGCTCCGTTTTTGCTGGCAGAGGGTTGCAGGAGGCTATTCCAGCCGAAAACGGAGCTCGGGAGCCCATTTTCTCTGGCAGAGCACCTGGGCCACGGGAACTTCCAACACGAGTGATGTCAAGCTGGCCACGCCCACTCCAGCCCCAAGATCAAACACAACCCTGATGTTGCCCTCAGTGAAAACGAGTTTCACACCCCTAGCTTAAATCCTTCGAGCTGAGAAATACTCATATTTTCTTTTAAAATATTATAGTGAGACACACTATATTGTTACTATACATTTAGTGATGTTGAATAGTTTCTCCTTACCAGCAGCTTCTTGCTCCTCTGTAATACTCTTTATATTTTGAATGAGGCTGCTTGAGAGAGATTCCAAACTGGCTATATAAGCCTCATATTGTTTGCCATCTGCCTGTAAAGATGATTTCAGGCTCCGTAGTTGCTCTAAACGGTCCTTTTTCATACAAAAAGATGGAAATTGTAGTCTGTTAATTAAAATCAGACTTATAAATACATCAGAGCTATGTGTGCCAGTACTCAGTTACTCACTGGTTCACTTTCTCTTTCCTTTTCACGCTTGGCAATCTCTTCCTTCAACCTTTTTTCTTTTTCTTCTAAGTCCGCTAAATGATTTTCATGTACCTGAAACAGATCCTCTGAAAGAAAGATAAAAGTAATCCTCCAACCACTCAAGTGCTCTATAACTGAAGTTATTAATTAGAATAAGTCATTGAGATAAAAAGTATACGCTGGGCACAAGTTGACATTTTGCTTTACTAAATATCAGATTTAAATCATTTTTTAAAAGATTGTTATAATTTCAGTGCATTTCCATCACTAAGTAAAGTAGTCATAAAGTGCCACAATATGCAACTGCATTACTTAGTACTGGAAAAAATGGCAGGCTCTGTTGCTGTTGCTAAGCGAAAACCTAACATGACTATGACGTGGAAAGAGGCATGAATCCCAGCCAAGCAGCTGATGGGCAAGAGCTATGGGCATGTGGGTGTGGAGCAGAACAGCATTATGGAGTACGAGATTCCCATGCCATCTGGGGCATCACAGGAGGAAAAAATGGTGGGAGTGGGAACAACCTCCTGCTGGAGTTAAACACAAAAATACTTTTCTTAACCACATGAGCTCTAGTATCTAAGTAAATATCTTGAGAAATAGTACAGAAACTTACTTAATCTCATATTCCGGGATTAAGTGGGATGATGGGGGGAGGAACTAGAGTTTAAACAGAAATATTCTACATTAATTGCTTAGTGAACAATTTTTTTTAAAGAAGCTTGAAAAACTACAAAAAGCAAATGGTAAAAGATTCATAGCAATACCTACTTTTAAAAAACATTTTACAATGTAAATTACTCACTTAATTTGGAATCTATTTCAGCATCAAATTCTTCAAAACTGTCTCTACCCTTCATGAAATGGTCATAACATTTTATAGAGTAGTCCAGAAAAAGCTGAGGACATAATTGTAAAATCAGTTTAGTTTTAGGAATTTTTAAAAATATGCTAAACAGTATTACGTTGCAGAATATGTGTGCTTTTTCTCTGTTAAGAAAAGTTTTCACATAATATACATCTTGTATATTATTATTGCTGATTTCATAAGCAACATATACTAAATGTTAATCAGAATCATCACTGATATAAACAAATTTTGATATAGACAACTATTAAAATACAACTATTAAATGCAAAAATAAGACAGAGTATCTATTGTTTCTAAAATGCTTAGCATAAATGCATGTATCTGGAAAAAATTGTCTTCAAATTGTCTACATTAATAGCTTGGTGAACAATTTTTTAAAGAAGCTTGAAAAACTACAAAAAGCAAATGGTAAAAGATTCATAGTAATACCTACTTCTTAAGAACATTTTACAATGTAAATTACAATGTAAATTAAATGTTAGCAATGTGAAACCACAAGCCTAGCAAACCGGATGGCAGCTGTAACCGCAAACAGAGAACAGAAACAGTAGAGCTTAGGTGAGACAAAGTGGATTGCATAGTTAAAAACTGTGAAAACATAGCTAGAGGAAAGGGAGGCTTTGGGGGAAGGGGGTAGACTAAACGGTTCGACAGGATGTTCTTCTGACAAGGGGAGGGGACGATGAGTCTGTGTAAGGGAATATAAGCTGACTTCCATGCTTCGTTCTGTGTTCAGCTTTGTTGCGTCCATATTTGCAAGTATGTTAATAAACTACTTTGCTGCTTTCAAGTTGTTGTCTCTGGTAGTTCCATAGGCAAACGTGCATGGTTTACAACATTATTTTATTGCCAGCAAGTAATATTCATTCCACAATTTAGGGAGAAAGAGCTAAAATACCTTGTTATGCAAAATTCCATCTACAGTCTCTCCCAAAATCTGTTCTTCATCAAATGACTGTGGTTTTTCTTTCATATAAGTAAACAACTGAGTAAGACACAAACAATGACATAGTCACAATGAATGTTTCCTACTGTACTAGTAGAGCATACATGCTATTTTTCTGAATTAATCAGAATACAATTTATGCTTCCCTACCCACTTTTATGAAGATTGTTGCCAACTAGAAAGGAAATATTATTAAATTTATTAGAATTTATATTAACACATATTTTATTTTTAATGAATTTTTTTTTGTTCTGGGTCTCACCCACTTTTTGGTAAGTTCCTGGCATATAACTCAAATGTGGCCTGAACATTACTGACTGCAAATTTGTTATTACTATTTGTTTGATGGCAACAAAATATAATATGGCAACAAAAGTGCAATATCTCTAACAGTACATTATATATTATAAAGAATCTATCAAAGTCACAAGAACATCAAGAATTCCATTAACCCAGCTGCATCACTTCTATATTGATAACCAGATCAAAATTAGATGAAATGCCATAAAATACCTATAAATGTGGCTATATATGTAATTGGTTATCTATAATACCTTGTAACAATCTATCAGCCAGACCAGAGCTGCTACAATCTGAGGCCACATATGAGGAGCACCCACTGTATACATAGAGCTTTTCGACAAAGCAAATGGATAACTGTAAGAAAAAGGTTTTCTGTAAAAAACTTACTTTTTCAAGAAAATGCCAGATACAATTCAAGCTACACTCAGACCCAAAAAGGATCCACTTAGTTTTATTTTCTATAAAATTAATTAAAATGAACATTAAGAATCCCACCTTTGGTATTTTCTTATAAACAACTTAGTTTTCTCTTTCTCTATATGCCATCATCATCTCATCATTCCTTATCAACCATCTCCTCCCACTTGTGACTGTAACTTTGTAGCTTTATATTGACTGTTTCCTAGTACGATTTGATTGCTTATTGTACCTATGACTATTATTAAGTGTTGTTGATTCTTGACTCCTAACAAATTTATCTTTTATGTACACTGAGAGCATTTGCACCAAGACAAATTCCTTGTGTGTCCAATCACACTTGGCAAATAAAGAATTCATTCATTCA